AAAAATTAAATTATTCGCTTCCTATTCGTTTATAAATAGACCACATCAATATACTATATTCGAAGATCAAGAATTAAAGTTTTTGATTATGTGCGTGTATTTGTCTTTTTCTTTATACGTGGAAGGCAAAAAAAGGAGGTTTAATAATATGTCGCTGCGAGTTGATACCTAAGGTCTAGAGTCTACCCAATTCGATCCGGGTTTTAGGTTTATTTTGGCTCGAATCAGATGACAAGTTGTCTACATATTTTATTCCCAGCAATTTTTTTATTCCCTAATTTTTATTTTTCCAGCAGTTTTTCTTTCCTTGATAATTTTTTTATTTGCCGTATTTGTTTTCTTCCACAGTTTTTTTTTTACACCTAGGTTCTTTTTTTCTCTATCACATTATAAATTTTCTTAGTTATTATATAAACACATTTTTAAAGCAAACAAACTATTTTTTTAATGTTAATTTGTCTTGAAATAATTATTTCAATTTAAGAAGTGAAAGATGATTTTTTTTTAAAAAACAATATTTAATAAAGTAGTCAGTCACTAATTTTTTGTAGTTTTAATTGGTTTGTTAATCAAAATATAATCTCTGAATTATTAAAGCCACTTAAGGCTTCATTTATAATAATAAAATACCGCTATATCGTTAAAACGGTGCGTAATTTACCAAAATACATAATGTTCAATAACAGCTACGCTATCGTTTAACGATGAATTATACTCATCGATAAGCAATTTTTCAAAAAGCAAGCAAATAATAGGTAAAATATGATTGCGCGATGCGATGAAATGAATTACATAGCTACAGATTATAAATTTTATCTATTATTATAACTGGTAGTGTTGTTAAACGACTCGATTTTTAAAAACGGCTATCCCAATATTTTATCCAAATATATTACCCAAGCCTGGGAGACTTTACTCATAGATGGCATGGATATTACTCAGAGATGGCATAAAGGCTTGTATTATTAACGAATTCTCGAGGCCTGCATAACATTTTTTGGTAAAAATATTGAATTAACTGTTTTTAAGAATCGCGTTTAACAACAATAATAAGAGGCTTAAGTTTAAATATTGAAAAATATTCTTTGTAAAACTTACGAACTGAAAGGAATGTCAGGAAACATATTAGAAATGACGCTGATAACATCTGTTATTTCTTATTTTTTTTAGAAAATGTGTTAATAAAAATTCGTTCTTATTTATGTTCTATTTATTCCAAATGTTTAATATTGAAGCCTTCGCGAAAGGATAGCGTCTTCGATCTCCATCACGATGAATTAAATATGTAGATAATTAATTAATAGGAAACATTTAATGTAGTGTTGGGCGAGCGCGATGAGACGAATTATTCCAATTAATCAGATGTAATATAGTTTAGCAATAATACTCATTGCATAATTTTCATTGCCGTTACTACAAAGGATGTGAGCTTCATTAGAGTTCATTATAACCGAGGTCTAATTTATATAACTCTCGTTTCGGAAAACCCCATTCAATTAGATTTATTAACCTAATATTGTCAAACCTTTAGAATCTTCTGAAAGTCCGTGGCGTCGCTAAAGGAATCATGGGGATGGAGGCTCAAGTCTTCTAAAAGGTTTCGGGGAACCACTTATTGCAGGATTTTTTAAATAATATAAACTTATATTATTAATAAAAAAAAAAATTTTTTTTCTATCAACTAAGAATTCAACTTTGAATTCAGAATGGATTATGATAGCCATGATATTATATTCATTGTGCACATTTGGTAATCTGGCAATAAAGTTATTTTGGGGTAGCTCCCTTGTCGCAAAAGGTAAAGAAAAGCAGAATGAGATGGTTTGGACATGTGCCAAGGACTGACTCAACCCACGTTAATCGGCAACTTTTCTATCACTAACTTGAATTCCTCAGATTCGCAAGGGCATTTAGGATAAAAAAATTGTCGTTAATATGGAGCAAAGCCAACTAGCTTCTTACATGTTAGAAATAGAATCATTATTTTATGTCAAATTTGAGTTTTCTCACTATAAATGTTATTTTATATTACTTAATTTTAAATATATAATTTTATATGCAATATAACTGGGAACCAATTCTCCCTGTAAATTCTTTAAATGTTTTTTTTAAATATGAGATATGTACAACTCTGTTGATATAAAATTCATTTCCAATGTATTTGTCACTAAGATGCCTTTTTCCAAATTTTTTTTATAAAATATCTCTTTTTAAAATGAATTTGTACTCGTATACATTTATTTAGCACGATAATATTTTAAATTTTCACACCTACTCACCGCTAGATTTTATTTTTTAAAAAAAGGACTCGTCATGACGCATTAATTTAAGTTACAATACTCTATTAGCAATACAGAATCAAGATTTAATAAGAACTCCTTTTGGCGCATGTCAACTAGTTAATTCTAATTTTATTTAAATGTGTTTTATCCAATAATATCCATCATTAAAAAGAAATTTTTAAAAGTTTATAAAAAATATAATTAAATTTCGACTTTAAGCGTTTTTCTCTATTAACCATAAGAATTTGGATTGCAATGTAGAAATGTGGAATATGACAAATAATTGCGCTCATATTTTTGTTTAATAGGAATCAGATATTATGTGCTAATTTTTTGAGAATTTTACGAAATGTGACTATCTTTATACACGTCACAATCAAGAAAAACGTATGAATAACAAAATAATGCATAAAATATACACGAAATTAATGATATTTGAAGAATTTATATGTAAAATCTGTATGAGTGGACCCTATTTTTTTTTAAACTTTCACACCTCTCTTAGCCCACTAACAAAGTTGAGGCAAAGTAGCCTTAAAAAACCTGTGTCGATTTTGCAGCAAAGTTCAACCTCTCATTTTCTGCCATTGAAAAGGCTGATAAAACAAAAAAAAATATATCGGCCTCACCAACACCGTGTTCATTCCAATCGTTACCAATACCCTAGGCATGTTTGGAAGTGATGCCCTCAATTTCATTAAAATCATAGGGAAAAAAATGAGACAGATCTCAGGGGACTCCAACAAAGAATTTTACTTGTATTTACTCTTCTCTAGGGTGATTTGTACCCTTATTTTTAATATATTTTTTTCTCAGTTCTTTTTTATTCACATATATTTTTTAAATTCATTTTTAATATATGCTCTTATTTGTTTTTTTTAAATATATATATTTTTAATTATTTAGTGTATATACCCTATTTTAAAATATAAACAAAATGATTTGACATTTAAAAAAAAAAAATTAATAAAAATTAAATTTAAAAAAAAACAACTGATATCGGTTTACATGCATTGCTATATTGTACCATGAATAGCAATGCAATTACATTGATGAATACCATCATAATGGCTTGTTTGAATTAGGCTTCATTATGTTCGCGCCAACTATATGGCTTAAATTTTTCCCTAATATAATGTGATAGAGTATTGGTGACAAGTGGGATAAAATTACGTTAGCGATATTTATTTTCAAGATTTCTGCCAAATTAAGTGCTGAGCTATTTATTAAATCGCCCCAAAAAATCGATGCATATGTAATCTCAAGCTACTGGAAGACCAAGGTATTCGGCTGATACCATCAGTGTTGTGACTAAAATGTTAAATCTTACTTTAAGTAATGTTATCTAGGTCTTAGGAGTCAGGAATATTTTTATCAACACAAAATATTGATATGGGTATCAAATAAAAGGTAATTAAAATATCTTTTGCCTATGTTAAATATTACTTTAAGTGGTCGATTCTAGGTATTGGAATATTTTTATCAACATAAAATATTGATTTGATTATCAAATAGATGGTAATAAATATTGATACGAGTATCAAATAGAAGTTTAAAATAAAGGAGGAGAAAATTCCTATTCCCTCCATTATTGTGGGGCTATCAACTAGTACATATATGTAAGCCGATATTTTACAAATCTAACCCATACAAAGGTCTGTAAAAAGCTGAACAAATGCCCATTCGATTTATAGGGTGGGTAAAATTCCTTGGAAATTTTTTAACCCTCTTAGGAAAATCTTGGATAGGGCATCCTTTAAACCCTATTTGCTTTCATAATTATAAAAACCTTTATAAATAATCGTATTAAACCATAGCTATATATCTAAACGATTGGAAAAAAAAATATTACACGAAATTCATCGGAACCAGAATGGAAAATAAAAACTCAAATTTTACTTTATCAAAAGGGATGGACCCTGATTTATTTTTTTATGAAACATAATATATCACTGTTCCCTGGGTTACACATATTATAGCATGGGGTGGGGGTTTTAATTCTTGTGATTCCATTGCTGACTTTGATTTGAGAAGAAATGTTTTTATAAATCGTTCAGCTTCTCTTTTGTCTGGGGGTCCAGGGCGATAACTTAGAGCGCTTTATGTTGTATAGTAGTGTTAATAAAATATAAAAAGCATGAAAGCTTTCTAAAAAGGAGGTTGATACTAACTATATTCTTTCTTATTTATTTCCCTATTTAAAATAATAATATTTTACAGTTATAATTAGCGTTGTTAATCGGTTAAGCCGATTTGGACTAAATTTTGTTCAAGTTTTGAGTCTTATTTTTTAAATATTTTTCCCGTGGAGTAAATAAGTAAGTTTGTTTTATAATAAATTTGAGCCGACTCTGAAGCCAATTCATACGGCTCATTGAGCCGCTCAAAAGTGGTAATTCACGACTTCAACTGGAGTTCAGAGTCGCAAAACTCGACTTTTTAAAAAGTTACAATCCTAAACAATAGAAAATAAATTAGGCTTCGATATATTAACATTCTTTCATTTATCCAAATAAAAATATCAAAATTTTTTATTAAATTATAAGTTATTTTATCAGTATATAATTTATAATTCATATAATATAAAGTAGCTTTATTAAAAAATTTCTAAAAAATGCAAATTAGAAAATTAGACAAAAGAATGAAAAGGAAATTTACAAATAAAATGAGATTTTTTCAAATAAAACAAATATTATATATGAACAATGTTATGAAATAAATATAAATTTTTTTTTATATAAAAATAAGAATTTAAAACGAAAAATCGAATTTTAGCCTACAAATATAATTGTGACTTAAAAATTAGTATATAAATGCGCATAATTTCTACCACATCATATTTTTTATATTTATACTGTGGGAATTATTTATTTGTAAAATTATAAATGGAATGTAAAAAAAAATTAAAAGAATATAAAGAAGAGAAGGAAAAAAAATTTATTTAAAAATGCGGATATTCGAGCCACCTTAGTCTTTGTTCTTCAATTTGAGCGGCTAATCGAAGTGATAAAAATATTGCTAGAAGCTATCGTAATAATAATAACATATAAAATATGAAATTATAAAATAAAACGGGTAATTTAATAAATCCCACAAAAAAAGACAAGAAAACTGAAAAATGAGCTGCATTAAATAGGAGAAAGTATGAGAGAATTCCAGACTGGGCTTGAAAAATTAGGCCCGATGCAGATTACTAATATGAATATTAAATAGAAGTCAAATTAAAATATTGATATGGGTATAAAATAGAGGCTAATTAAAATATTTATCAAAAGAATATTAAGAAACTATTCGACTGAGTAAAATATAAAATAACTTTATGAAACTTTTTAAGCTTACATATCTCTAAGGCAGAGGTCTGCATGGGCCGGGCTACCCCAAGGGTCAAGCCCAACCCATGGCTAATATCATTTTTTTTAACTTTTATATGTGAAATGATACACTTAAAGTTTTAATATTTAAAAGGTAATAATATTGGTATCGGAGATGTATCGATCTATTTAATTTTTTTTTTTGCAATTTTTACCCAGAGATAAGATTAATAAGGGGTGGGCACTAAAAATTTCTTCCTTAAATTTAATATTATATAAAAATGTAGAAAAATATAAAAACTTATCTTTTAAAATGGAATATTTAAATTGATATCACATATGAATCGTTTCTTTTACTAGCAATTATTATCATACGAAATGCAGTAATTATTTTTCAATCACATTATAATTCATTAAAAAAATATATATTGTCTTACCTAAAGCTAAAAAAAATATGTTTAAAATATTCATGTTTTTTTTCTAATTTTAAAAGGCAGACGATTCTCAAATATTAATTTTTATGATTACATTTACATTATATTTTTTTAAATATCGATGGCATAGGCCTTATATATTGCAACCTCAATATCAAAAAAATGATGATTATCAATGCACTTCTGAATTACTAAATATGTATAAACGAAATTTTTAATTGAAGCTAGAAAGAACAGAAAATGTATTTATTACGGCTATCAATTAGCAATTAACTCTAGTCCATACAAAATACAAGTATGATCCAAACTCATTAAAATGTATAATGAATGTTTTTAAGATAAATTTTTTAACTAGGGGTATAAGGATAGCCATGACGGTTCCGCCGAGCAGAATTGCGTGTTCTTCGATCCACTTGGAAATGGCTTTCAAGCAACCTGAAGTGTATATTTTGTCCTTTATTTCAGTTTCCTAAGTCCGTAATAATAAAAATATATGGATTATATGATTGATAGTCAATCGATGCAGAATAATTTAAGATTGACATCAAATTTTCTCATTTCATTAGTTCCTAAAAAAAAAATTTTTCTAGAACGAGAAATCAGACAGAAATAGGGATCCAAAACTTTTTTAATTAGCTCGCTTTTCAACTTTAAACGAATTCCCAAATTATGAGATAAAAATAATAAACATAATAATCATCTGAATGGAAGTGGAAAACATGCCAATCATTCCTAAAACTTAAGGAATAAGAATGAGTATTTATTTTTGGCATATGCCGGATAACTGAGGTAAGTATTCTAGAAGAAGCCTTAATTTTGCAATCAATTTATCTAAAATTTAGGAGGTATTTATAAAATAATAATAATCCAAGAATGAAAAAGGGAATCAAATAAATCATTTTCAAAACTTAAGGTTTCAAGCTGGTAAAACTTTATTAAATTCCCCATAATATTTTTATGCAAAAAAAGGAGGAAAGGAATCGACTAGAAATCCTAAAATTTAAAATGCTATTTCTCGTCATTATAGAAATTGATTATTACGAAGAAAAGCAGTAAAATTCTAGAAGGCTAAACCTGTGAATTACTCCCCAAACAATAACTGCAATCTGTAAGCGGCTCAAATAGATAGCCCCCATAAGCGCCAAAGAAATATTGGATCAATATTCAAAATGAATTGATGCAGTGAAGATGTTATAATGTTTTAATTTTAATCCTTTTGGGGGGGGGGGGGATTTTTGCGTAAAGGGTATGTTTAAAATCCTTCGTTCAAATAATTATCAGCACGATGGAATATAAATATTAAAACTTATCAGACATTCATAATCACACTCATCTCATCATTTACAAAAAATTTAGGGTAAAAAAAGGAATTGTATGTTGTTAGGAGAAATGCTAAATACAAAATTTTTCCGCTACGCTATTTAAATTCAATAAAAATTTAATATGTATATATGTTAGCGTCGTTTTTTCCGGAAATGTGTTATTTTTTTCAACTTGTAATCATTTTTTTTAATGCCCGATTTTTTTAATCATGTTTGGAATACCTACCCTATAAATTTCAGACAATTTCGGCATGAACTTTCGAACTAATTTATATTAATTTTTCCATAGATTTTTTATATAAATTATAAATATGACTCAAAGGTTAACGGCAAAATTATCTGTAGATATGGAATACAAATCCGTTAATATCCGATTCTTAAAGTTTAAAAAAAGGCGCTAAAATTGAAAAAATAACACATTGACGCAAATTATACATTTAAATCTTAGACAAATTGATAGAGGTTTTTAAGAGGTTATAATGCGTCATATTTGTTGACACCATTAGGCCATCCTGGATATAATAGGCGGTAAAAAAAAAGTGAAACAGTTATTTACAATTCTTCGGTTAAATTTAAACATTTTCGAGAGTCGACTAACTTTTCGAATATAAAATAGGGGAAGAAAAAAAAAATTATTAAGCCTAGCTCGTGTAAAATTATATATACCTAAAAATAGAAGAAAAATGAGTATATCTTTGAAATAAAATATATAAGAAATATTGATGTTAAATACCGTTTTATCAACCGTATGAAAGCCGCACATGACGTTGTCTTGTATGTTCTAAAGACAAATAAAATATACATTTATTTTACATTCAATACATCAAATGAGAAAATCGGGAGAGAATTTTATTTTACACGGTTTAATTTGGCAGGTCATTTATCTTTCTAACCCCCCCTCTCTTCCATTTTTCACTATCCCAGACATCACCATCGATGAAGAATAAAAATATTTAGGAAATAAGAAGGAAAAAAAAAGATGAAGGTGAGAGTATAGAAGCTTCAAGAAACAAATGTAACAAATAAATTAAAATTCTTAGAATTGCGAAAGATTTAAATCTAATTCATTAATTAAAAATATATAAAATATACATAAATGTATATATGCTTCTAAAAAACTTTCTTCCACCGATAATCATAAAAAATAATGTATAGTGTAGTAAAATGCTTATTTAAAATATAAATATATTTTGTTTGAATCGTAATTTAAGCGTAGGTTGGAATCATGCCAGCTCAAAAATATTATCGAAATAGGATGTTCTTCCACCTGGTTTAACATTTTCTACATCTCTATGATGAGTGCACAGAATTCAAAAACTAACAAATATAGATACCTTAAACAATCTATTGTTCGTTCTGGTAATCTAGGACGTCTGCGGTTCATTTGTCAAGTCTAAAATTATCCGATCAGAAACAAATGGGACAAAAGCTACGTTTAATCATTATTTCCAAAAAAAGAGTTATTACTTTTAAAGCGAAGAATATCTATTAAAATTTACTGCTCCAACTATATCTCACTCAATACATTTATCATTAAGATCTGTCGACTTAATTCAAATAGTTTTTTGTTCTTTTGATTTTTTACATAATGTAATTAATATTATTTTATTGTTCATTATTTTAAAATTATGAATATTTGTCAATATTAAAAGGACCTAGTTATAATATATCTCAGAATTAAGAATTGGCAGCTAATTTTTTACGCACATAAACATTTTAGAGTATAGATACAACCCGAGTATTTCTGCCAGATTTGTGCAAAATGTTTAGGCCTACGTAATATTATTTTGGTTATAATCTCAATAGTGTCGTTTTTTAAAATCGACCTATATCGGGTTTTTAACAGCACTAGTGATTCAAGTTCAGTTCTAAAAAATAATAATTTAGGTTCGGTTTGAACTTTTAAACCCTGGTTCAGATCCTTTTGCATATAAGCGCATTAGAATTATATATTTTTAAAACAAGTATTTTATAAATATTTTATCTTTCAAGATTCTCTTACCTATCAAATTATATCTATAAGGAGTACGAAAAATAAATTTTAGGGCTGAGAGCACTTATATACGCTAACTTGGGTAGCTGGCACCGTCAAATAGCTATATAGAAAAATAACTGTTGATACTTTTTAGTCAAAACTGATTATTAATCATATTTAAAAGAGTTAAAATATAAAATGTTTAAAACCGGCTTACAGGCATTTTTAGAGGTTCGGTTCAGGTTCGGGTGATAACATTTTTGCTGTTCATGTTCGGTAAATGATAGCGGTTAATACCGGTTCGGTTCGATGCCGTCGAATCGGCTGATCAAAATATTGTTTAGTAAAGGATCGAAATATTTTTTTAGGAAGATCGGCAAAAAGTAGGATTTATTCAGAAAGATCGGCAAAAAGTAGGCTGATTTTGTTTGCCGATATTGACCCCTTCTTAATAATATTGCTTGATATACTAGTTCAAAGGTTTATTAACTTTTCGGGATGGTTATGCATTATAAATACACTGCCTATCTTGCCTATTCCGATATATACACATTTATAACCAGGTGAATATTAGCATATCCCTAATTATTTATCATAAAACAAATGTTTTTTAAAAAAAATTAAATTAATTTTTCAACATTAACACCAGTGTTTTTTTTTCTTGCGCGAACTATGATGTTTAATATTATTATTTTCTTTCCCGGATTCGGGGAAAGTGTCAATTAGACGGATAATCAAAATTATTTTCGATTATGATGCGATATAACGAGTAAGTAAAAGAAATATTAAAATAAATTACCAACAATCTGAATTATTTTTTAAAAAGATAAAATGTTATATCGGTCAAGGTTATTAAAGTATCGTCAGACGCTGATATTAGCAGTATTTGTCCAATACCACTATTGAGCCTAGAAAAATCATTTCGCAAAATATTAAGTGTCGAGTTTCAAATCTGAAATTATTTGAATCTTTCTACTCCTTTTTTTTAAAAAAAAAGCTTTACCATAACTATTAACAAACTAATGCATTTAAAAATAAATGCGTAATCGTTTATAATATTTTCAATTCCCACTTTCGTAAAAAAAAAATTTAATTTAAATGACACGTCATAATTTTTTCTTACTCGCTTGTCTCTCTTGATTATATTTACAATTAAGACCATGTACCCCCTTGGAATCAACCGATATTTTACTTTTAATGTAGGTATGTGGTTGGACGATGATATACCCAATTCGGTGGCGAGGATTGAATTTTAATGCTTTATAATTTCTGGAAATCAGGGACCTTCTTGGGCCTTAATTTTTCGACCTAACCCAGCCCAGACCCGCAGTAAAAAATTTTTAGGCCCAGGTCCAACCCGGTCCATATCTAATATTCAAAAAAATTCCCAAGCCTGTCCCAAGCCCATAATAAGTTTCAAAAAAAATTCCCAAGTGCCGCCCAAACCTGTCAAAAAATTTAAATAATATTTAAGTGTATTTAGGCAATAATTTTGTTTACAATACTGAAATTTATTATTATTAAAAGATAAAAATGGCAATATTTCTTTAAGTTAGCAACTGTTTGAAATAAGCTAAATTCCAAGCCCAACCTATTAAAAAAAAATTTTAAACCCAGGTGCGCTAAAATGATATGATATCAGGCCCATACCCAGCCCTGGTTTGCGGGCTGGCCTGGCCCATGAAAGTCTCTGCGATCAATAAACCTAATTTAAACTTCAACCTTGACTAGAATATTAAGATAGAACTATATAATAATCAAACGGCCATCCATTTTTTTTTATTTCATCCCTGCAATTGAATATTTGACGATTTTTTTTAAAGAATTATTTAAATTAAATTTTGAATATAATATAGATGTATAAAAAAAAGTACTTCGATTCTTTTGCAACAAGACGAAGGGACGCCGCATTGTTCGACGCTCAAGTTTTCTGGCGTGCAATTGAAGTAAGGGTTCATGCTCCAGTCCCTAAACCCGTTCGTTCCCACGCCGCAGCATTCGAACTAATTTTTTGTAATATCACGTTAAATTTATTTATTAGACCTTTTTCGTTTCCTTCTCTCTCTTTGAATCTTTCTTTTCTTTCCTTTCTTCCATTCTTCCTATCATTCTATTTCCTACTTGCCATTTTTTTTTGAATAGCGTGTTTATTATAATTTTAACCTTGATTTGAATATTGTCAATGAAATTGCGCAGGTCGTCATCATCCCTGTACCTTTGAACAGCTTTAAGGAGAATTTCATTGGGAGTGTGAACAATCCTCATTTTGGAATCGGAATAAAAGGAGAAGAAAATAAGTCCTCCGAGGATGAGAAGCAGAAGGAAAAGGGTGAATAGGATATATGCAAACTTAGTAGTTTTAATATATATATTTTTTTAAATTTAACAAAAATTAATTTTGGACAAACATATTAAAGTTAATTTTTATATGGCTATTCATGTACCTTTTTTAAAATAAAAATTAAAATAGTACGTGGAGATAAGATGGCCCCTAGATTATATAAATGAAATGAAATCCACAAATTCTGACATATTATTTAAAAATGGTTTACATTTCTGGTTAACATAAATGTGTAGTTAAAGTCCATTCCTGGCTGGGGGTATGACTGGGTTATAGTAGATGTGTTCAAAGAAATTGTGCCCACAACAGAACCTTAACCAGGCCCATTTAAAAAATTTAGTGAGTTCACAACCTTAACACTCATTTTTTTTTGCCTCCTAAATAATTTTTAACCCTGAGTTTTGAACTCATTAAATTTTAAGAGGGATCAATTAATTTTAGGGGTAAAAAAAATTGAACCAGGTTCAGGGTTAGCAACCCTGGTTATTTTTGCTTTGAAATATGTTATTTATAAAAAAAAATATTATTTTTGGCTATATGAAAATGAAAATTTTTCATCAGATTTTTTGGCCTGGTCTGTAAGAGATAATCCTTTATAATTAGGTATTTTAATTTATAATAGTTTCTTTCAAATTAAAGATACTATATTTTTAAGAAAAACCTTGAGACCAAAGTTTTTGGCTAATAACTTGGGTTAGTCAAATTTTTTGCTGATAAAAATTGGCTTAAAGAGCTAAAAAAGTATTCAAATTACCAATATTTAGTGTTGAACAGCCTGCAATAATTTTTTGAAAGGAAAGAACATAAATTTAGCCAATTATTGACTTTAAACAAATTTTAAAAACTTAAGTTTGATCTGGAAGAAATTTATGCATAATTGTTTTGCCTGGTCAAAAATCTTTAAATATATATATTATGTTACTGCCAATGTAATCAAGGAATATGTGTAATCTAATATCTCAAAAAATTGAAATTTAAGTAAGTATTTTGTATAAAAGTTGAAAAATAGTAAATATTTTAGTTGAGCACATATTAAATTAAGAACTAATTTTGTTAAAAATGCATTCCAATGTCTGTAGAATACCTATCCTATAATTTCATAAAATTTGGTTATCAACTTTTGAGTTATTTTTAATTTATATGCCAAAATTACATCTGAAATATTAATTCGGCAATATATGAATATATATAAATATTATTACGCTCTTTAACATGCATATATTCTCCCTCAATGATCCCAAACATCCCAAAAATGTCAGTACAAAAACTAATGTTCCTGCTAGCATGAGTAATATTGCTGGATCAAATAGTATATCAATTGCATCTCTTAGTATTTTTTCTTTCTCAATAAATGCATACATACCTACTGCTGCAAATAAACACCCACAAAGCTAGTAAATAAAAACACACATATATATATAGTTTTCTGCATACAGTGTATAAAATATAATTGAGAACTTATAAACATTTAATTCATATTTACAGATCTAGTTATAATTATTCATCATGATACCTTTTAAATTATATAAGTATATATTAAATAACATACCCAAAATAAGAAGTTGAAAAAGAATAAGGTGTATTTGACACATTTGCTTATTGGATCATATGTAGTATAATATGTGTAAGGGCGTCTCTATCAAAAACATATTATTTACCTATTATAGTACATTCTTTACCTGTCTGTATTTCCCATACTTAGAATTATGATGAATCGCCATGTTTTATTCAATATTAAGTTTAACATAAGTTAAATAATAAGTTGAAAGCGTATCATTAATTTATCAAAAACAGCTGATAAAATAAAAGAGGACATTAAAGTAGAAAATGGCGAGAGTCATATGTATATTTTAAACAAAATAAATTTACGTTGTCTAGTTTGTCTTTATTTATAAGTGTAAAAAAAGCCTGGTAATTTTTCTCATAAATGGCAAATAGGCTTCTACTTGCCAAATCTTGAGACTTGCACAATATTATTTTGGCTAAAACCTTAATCAGACCATTTTTAAAAATCGGCCCAAATCGGGCTTTTTAACATTATTATTATGAAATAACTAACAATTATTATAAATCTCTAACTATGAGAGAGCGATTGAGAAAATACAATATTATAAAAAAGATAATTTATCCCAGAATATAAGCCCATCCTGTTTATTCAGTAAATAAAATACTTAAAATTGCTTCTCCATTTTAAAAAGGTAATATAAAAATAGATCTTCTATAAGAAATTAAAATTACAAGCTTTCTAATATTTTATTTTTAAATGAATAAGTTTTTTCCAATTTTTAACATCTTTTAAAACAATTTCAGCTTATATAGACATTTTTAAGTCGTCGCATCTGAAGGAGGGTAGAATATATTTATTTAGATTTCCTTTTTTGTTAATTTTATTTTAGATTTATCTTTTTTGCTAATCTTCATAGATTAAGGGTGGAAGAGAGTAAAAATATTTGTGAGAAGGGGGGGGGGGCAGGTAAAAAATATATTTCGGGGATTAGTGTCCAGTTGGTGAGAGGGAATTTGGAGGTGGGGGTAATATTAACATTGGCTTAGAATATATATAAGTGCTCGCCATCTTTTATGCTAATAATAAAATATATATATATAATTACAATAAAAATGAAAAAAATACAAAAGAAAAGTAGATAATATGATATCTATTTTTTTTATAAGAATTGAATTAAATCCTCGTTCATATTTTATTTTAATCATAATTACATTTTATTTTATTGTAAATTATATTTTATTTTTAATCATAATTTACATTTTATTTTCAATGATAAATTACATTTTTTATTCCCTTTCAGCAAAAACAATTTCACTTTATATATCTTTTTTTAAACAATAAAAAAAATAACTAATTGTGTGAAATCCAAATTGACGTTAAAAAAATGTAAGGTTAAAATGATATAAAAAAATGTTAATTTAAAATTTTGACCGAAAGGCATAATCTCAATTATTCAACATTCCACCCTAAAGAAATTCGGCTTATGATTTCCTTGGATAAGTTGAGTGGTAACGCCATTAACGTTCATGATCGTCACGCAATACGCCACCCATGTTCATGGTGCAGTCTTCTTTTCAAACCGAACGATGGCTTGGTAAAGTAAAGGCAGCCCTTAGCTAACATTGCGATCAGATCATTTGTGCATGGCATCGGGCATCTAGATTCCTCTCGAGCAAGGTTCCTTCAGCCAGCCATCCAATTTCTGAGTCATCGCATTAATCTTGGCACACGGAATTCTCCTTGAAGGTAGGATTTAGGCACAGCATCGGGCTTCAAGTGAACTTTCTCTTGTCTGACCATTTTGAGTTTGTAGGAGTAAGTTGATTCAAGGTCTTTTTTTGTTGTCGAGTATTATCTTCTCGAGATCATTCTCCACATTACCCACTAAGAACGTTTTTAAAATGTTGTTGAAGGCGTTGAGCCTCATACGCCCTAGCAGGGGGATCTTGTCACAATCCATCAATATGGCTTCCAGCGTTTTTAAGTTACCTTCATACTTAACGTTTACATTAGCAAGACTAATTCTTGATGGCGCTGCCGTCATAACCAGTGAGTTTCATATCCGTCTTACGTATCGTGGTTATACCTACAGTGTTAGCTATCAGCTTCGGAAGTATAGTGTACCTCGTACCAGTGTCAACTTGCATCAGCGTGGGTATGTTTTTGATGCTCACCGTTACGTTGTATGCGTCATATCTGATATCGTTAACCCCCAGATTGCACACTTCCAAATTCTGCAGATTATATTCTTTAAGGTCTGTGTTTGAGTCGTCGCCATCATCGATTGCTTCGATGTTCATATCATCATTCGTATTCAATTGACAATCACGATCTTTGTAATCAGAAGATCTGTTGTAAGTATTGTTGTCGTTTTTGTACTGGTTGTGCCTCGACGAATATTTCGGGAAACCTTTAATATTTTGAGGGTTGTGTCTGTGCTGACCACGACGGGGATAGTTGGTTCGGTTATCACCTCTATAGCAGTCATCCCGTCGATCAGGGCTTTGATGATGGTCACAGTGATAGTCGTGGCGATTGCCATGGGCGTTGTACCCGCTATTGTTGTATTGATTGTCATAGTAGTTATCGTTGCGATTATCAAAACGGTTGCGGTTATAGTGACAATTATCGTAGCTTTGATCAAAACGATTGCCGTGGAAGTTGCTGTGCCGTCCATCGAATCGTTTATCGCGGCCATTGTCGTAGCGTATCTTGTAACGTTCATCAAAACGTTTGTAGCGGCAATAGTCGCAGCGTATATCGTAACGTTCATCAAAATGTTGTCCGGGGCGATTGACATTAATTAACTGGGGTTGTTTAAGAGATTTACCATGTGCGTGAGAGTTCTGGATGGGTTTTGTTATTACGTAACTATTTTTGACTCTGCCCATGTGATTAACCTCTTGTATTCCAGGTGATTCATCCAAATAAAACAATTTCATCACGCCCTTGATGTCACTTGGCTCAGTGGTGTCTTCTTCTAGACCTAGATTGTAAATATCTTCTATAGTCATAGAGCTCCTGACCGGGGAAATCTTTGGAATTCGAAGCAACTCTCACTTTCTCAATAATGCGCTGAATGGCATTCTTTATTGAGTCGTGCTACGCGTGTGACCCAAGCCGAGAACGTCTCCTCCTTGCCTTGAGTGGCAGCATAAAATAATGAAAGTTTGGCGTTCTCAGTCTTCGATGGATGTTGTAGCTTGAATTTGCAAAGCAGGGCGATTGGGTCCTGGAAGTCTGCCTAAGTGCAAATCGCTCCAATGTTATTGAATTCATCATCTGGAAGACTTCGGAGAAACAAGGCGACCTTTTCTCCGTTGGAGATCTTGCTAATGTCGAAGAAATTCTGCAATTTTCCTATGTAGCTGCCATCGCTACTAAATTTGGGGAAATCCAGCTTGAATTCAGTCATATATGTGGAATTGTTCAAAGCATCCATCGTAAGAGAATTATGATCGATAAAGGAGTAAAATAGAATAGATATACATTGTAAAATCAAGATCGAATTTTGATATAATACTTACGCAAAGTTCGGACGTAATTTGGCCTCCATGTAAGAATTGGGTTAAATCCTCGTTCATATTTTATTTTAATCATAATTACATTTTATTTTATTGTAAATTATATTTTATTTTTAATCATAATTTACATTTTATTTTCAATGATAAATTACATTTTTTATTCCCTTTCAGCAAAAACTATTTCTTTTTATATATCTTTTTTTGAACAATAAAAAAATAACTAATTGTGTGAAATATAAATTGACATTAAAAAATGTAACGTTAAAATGATATAAAAAAATGTTAATATAAAATTTTGACCGAAAGTCATAATCTCATTTATTCAACACACTAAATAATATAAAGGATAATTATATATTAAAAAACAAAAATATATATTTAACTACCTTAATATAAAATATATTTGCCTGACGATATGATCTAGCAGGTACATGCAAAGAGGTGTATGAAGGAAGCAGCCATTCACGGGGGCTAAATGTTAGAATATTAAAGAGCTCAATTTTGTTTCTTATGCAAGTAAATTGTAATTTTCATTAATTGCTATTTTATATAAATATTACGCTTAAAATTATATAATTTAGTTATCTATTGCCATTTATTTCTATTTTAGTAGAATATTAATATTATAAAAAAACATATTTAGGTCGATTTTTAAAAAGGGCCCGATTATGATTTTAGCCAAAATAATATTTTGTAAGTTTCAAGGTTTGGCTAAAAGAAACAGAAATCTTTCTGCCACCTATGAGCAAAATCAAGCTTACACGATATTACTTTGATTATAAATTTGGGCTTATTAACAACACTATTATATATATTTCGAAGTGCAAACCATAAGATGGCTCTCTGACTCCTATATATGGGCTAAATTCATTTAATGAATGAATCTCTAATCTAGTAAAATTACATCATTGGATACAACTTAAATAACATTTATAGTTAGTTCCAATCAAATGCGATTGTAGAGAATTCAGTTTTAACGACTAAGCTCTCTTTGCAAAAATTAATATTAATAAATAAGAAATTTTGCGATACATTATATTTGTATTATAGACTAAATAAAAATACTAAATCTAACGGCTAACATGATGCTATTTAAGATTTATATAAATTATCGTCTAAGAACTGGATTATTCCATCTCCATTTTTTATAATTTTGCAGGTGAGCAATTTTAAAAGTCAAGTTTCTATTTTTAACTTATTTTGGATTTTTTTTATGTAAATGGAATTGTATAATTATAAAAAATTGATAATATATTAAATATTCAAATCCTATTTTTTTTAAATTAATTCATTTAAAAAAATTTTTATAGAAAAGTGGGAACGTTGCAATAAAACTTGTATGTATGAAAAGTGAGAAAATTGCAATAAAAATAGTTCTGCAATTCAACTTTATTCAAAATAAATTTTATTTAAGAAAATTTAATATGTATCTTTTCAATAAATATATATATATATTGTTTTACAAAAGAGAAGTAACTGAAATTAATGATAGAGGAGAAAGAACTCGCTTGGCATGATACAGAAATTAATTGTACCTTTATGATATTGTAAAGTAGGGAATAAATAAAATGGTTGTGTCCTTACTTGGAATTCAATTAATGGGAAGGGGAATTAATGTATCTTTATATTACTGTTGTATTTTAATTTTGGAATACAATCAATAAATACATTCAAAAGGGGAAAAATGGGTTAAATGTATCTTTTATTGTTCCTTATTTTGGAAAACAATTAATAAATTTGTTTAGAATATAATTATTATAATGGGAAAGGTATCTTTATATTATTGTTGTTTCCTTTTTTGGAAAACAATCATTAAATACATTCAAAAGGGGGAAAGTGAAAATGTATCTTTTCAACCTATTTTGGAAAACAATCAATAAATACTTTTTATAAAATAAAAAGTTTCACCTATATAAAGCAGTCCCTTAGAACGTTTTAGTCACAAAATTTTACATTAAAGTAGGCCTATTCTTCTAATCGAATGGAAATAAATACAGAGTAAATTATTTGTTTTGTTGGATTATGAATTTTAATTTATTTATTTTATTCTAATATGAGTTTTCATTTATTCACCATTTTATTTGAACAATTAGTTTATTCAACAAATATTTTGAATAATTTGTTATATTATATTTAAATCAAATAATTATTGTTTTTTAAAAATTTTTTATCATTTCTATTGATAATAAACATATATAGGTGATTTCAGACTCCCCCCTTTGTCACAAATTTGCTTGTTCTAGTAAATCTCATTTTAAGAGAACAATAAATTTTCTCCTAAACCCCTCCCCCCTTATTCTCCAAAGTATTTTAAGGATGCATATTCCATCATCTCCTAAGGCATATAAAATAAAATTTTGCAAAAGTTAATAATTTTTTATAATAACGACTTTAATTCAAAATTTTTAGAAAAAAAAGCCTTTTTATAAATAATAAAGACCTTAATTATTATTATAAAAATTTAATAAAGCCAAGAGCCTACAATAAGTGAATTTAAAGACCTCCAATAAAATTTATATTAAAAATAAGTCGAAGTGCCCCCATCCCCAATAAGAAAATCGTGGATACGCATGGGTGATGTGTAACAAAGTTATGCATTAATTGCTAGAGAAAGACATTTCTTAGTTGGATCTGCCAAAAAATTGCATGTCTTATAAAAAAAAGCAGTAAGATAAACACTGCCTTATAAAATTGGTTTTCTATTATCAACTTCATTATAATTTCCTTAATTTAATCGCATGTTCTCTATCATCAAATTATTATAAATTTCTTGTTTAAAATTAGGGGTTCATTCTGCCAATATATTTTCGAATGAATAATTTTATATTGCATCAGGCCCAGCCCTTGAAAATATTTTGGATAAGTTGTCCACCCCAGCAATATTGAGCCTACTTCAATCTATATTCTTACCCACACTGCTAATGTAATGATTAATATTTTATATAATATATATTTTTTGATTAATAAACACACAACAGTGTTGTATATATTTACATACGGTTAATGGTATCTATATTATTTATCAACAAGAAAAGAGAAACTTCTTATATACCAATTTACTTTCATTTCAACAAAAAAACATTAATATTATTTAACAAATGTTTGGGGCGATAAAAATATTACTTAACACAAATATTTTAAATTTTTTACCTTCTAATTATGTTATTAAAATTTTACCGTTGTTTGATTTAATAAAAATACTTCTGATATTCCTAATTTTGAGCTAATTCCTACAAAAAAAAGAATTTACTCACTGGTATAGAAAAATCTCAAACTCCCGGTATACACTTTTCCCCATCTTTTAAAAATGAGCCCATAAACGTGACTACATGCCTGTCAATTGTACGTAAGAGTCACAAAAATTGTGGGTTTTGCATATAAATCATCTGTAATGCCCCAGTTAGATGGTAATGAGAAAAAAAATAATTGTTGTACTTTGCCTATAAAATATTGGGGAAAATACTTTAATAAAAATTACATATTCATCATACAAGATACAAGTATATTATATTAAATAATAAATAGAAATACATAATTTAAAAAAAAAACATTACATCCAAAATTAAAATAATTTCCCTTATTATAAGATTATCTAATATTTTTTTTTAATGTATAAAATTTCAATATAAGCGCAACATTAATATTTTAAAATATTTTCGACTTTTTAATATCACTTTTGCTATAATCGAAACCATTTTTGCGTGATTTTTTTGCCTTTTTCTCCCTTTGACTACTCGAAGAATGAGTAATTATTTGACTATTCAAGAGATTAAATACCGAAATTCCTTCGACATTTTTGGTTTTTGGGATTGATTTGTCGGTATTCGCCACTTCCTTTGGCTTTTCGTTCGATTTAAGGCTAGATTTCTTTTTATTAAGGAGTAATATTTCGGCGGTTTGCGCTTTGATGGGAGTTTTAATACCTTGTTCATACTTTCCTACAAAAAAGACAAACATTATTCCAATGACTTAAAATTAAAAAAAATATTCATTAGGTTACGTATATAAATATGATGATTTAAAAACCCGATTTTTTAACCAAAATAATACTATGTAAGCCTCGAGATTTGGCAAATAGAGGTCCAACCCTTTCTGCCATCTATAAACAAAATCTTCAGGCTTACATAATATTATTTGGGCTAAAATCTTAAGAGATCGTTTTGAAAAAATCGATCCAAATCGGACTTTTATACAACCCTACATATAGACCTGATTACGTGTAACATTTTTCAATAGGTAAAGACCTAAATATATTTTTAAAAAACCTCAAAATTTATAAAACATGATCAAAATCTTCTATTTAAAAATTTCAAAAATTCAGAAAATAAAATTTATCAATCAAAATTTTTTTACTTCCCATTTTTGATTAAAATATGTTATTTACTTTTGTTTTCGTAAAAATTTTACAACGTTATAAATTTTCGAGAAACTTAAAAATTAAATAAGTTTTCGTAAATTAAAAAAAAAAATTTAGACCACCATTTAATTTTTACATCTAAAATAGTTTATTTCACTTTTTTTCCATTAAAGTTAATAAATTTAAATTAAATAAATTTTTGATATTTAGGTCACAACCTTATTAAGCAAATTGCTCAATCTATCGATCGAATAGAATGAGATACATATAAATAGGTTTATTTTGTAAAAATAAAGGTAAATAAGAGCTTTTATTTTTATTGATAAGAAAATTAAATTAGAAGTAAACATAAAACATTAAGTTTGGGAGTAGCCTTAGATCAATGACATTATAATACTTATAATAGACAGGCGAATTATTTATTAAAATGCATTTTTATTTTAAAGCTTCGTTGAATAAAAATCAGCTGTAGACACGCCATTTTAGGTTTCCATACAAAAATAATTGTATAATGCTGAATTTTTAAAATGACTTAAACGGGAAATCAAAATGGCGTGGCCAACTGATTTGTATTGATACCCATTTATAATTAAATGAATATTGGTAGTTGTTGTTAAGCGGTTCGATTTCGCCAATTTTAAATTATCCAAAATAATATAATACAAGCCTCAAGATTTCGGTAATATGTCCAAACCTTTCTGCTTGCGAAATATTTTTTTGGCTAAAATATTGGGTTAGCCATTTTTTAAAAATCGAGATAATCAACCAACACTAATTATATGTAACAGAATTTTTTTTTTAAAAAAACAAGACATTAAATGGATATTTAATTCTCTTTATTTAAATAAAAAAAAATACAGCATATGTAAATCTATATTAAAATGATATTTAAAAATAACATGAGGAAGGGGCAAAAATTGGCCCCATTGAGATCAGAGAAAATAAGAAGTTTCCTCGAAATATAGCTATTTGAGCCGATTTGTAACATTTTAAAAGAGGATCCATGATCACAATTAATTCGAGAAATTTTTATAAAATAAAATCTTTAAAAAAAAATGACTGGCCTATTTTTTATTGAACATTATAATTTATAAATTTTAACCGAAATTGAATAAGAATGAAATACCTAATCCTAAACCGGGTGTAAACCCCATCTTCAAAAGTAGTTTCATTCCAATAGGATTCGAATCTTCGGCCTGTTTAATTTGGGATCGACTTGCTTCACTAGAATCGTGATAACCTTTCGAACTTTCAATAGGCACAAGGCTCTTCGTTTCGGTAGGTTGCATTTCTATTAAAGAAAAAAAAATATATATAATTTCTATAAATTTAATATGCGCGCATGTTTTTTACATGCTTTTATATGGCGGTATTTTGATGTTTTTTTAATAGGTGTAATATGATATCAAATAATAATCTATCTATGATCTTTTAATTTCTTTTCATCCATTTTTTTTTATGATTTAATTATTTTATCGTTACTCTTCCCATAATTTAGAGTGTTATTTTTTCAACATACGCGCGTTTTTTTTTAAATTCAAAAATCTAATTTTACCGGAAATGTATTCCATCATGTTTGGAATACCCACCCTGTGAATTTAAGAATATTTTGTCATGAACTCTTGAACTTATTATAATTTATATTCGTTATTTCCATAGATTTTTTTATGTAAATTAAAAATGACTCAAAGGTTAACGGTTAAATTTTCTGATTCATTAAGACAGGTATTCTAAACATGCCGGAATACATCTCATGTAAATTCAGATTTTTTAAATTTAAAATAACGCGTTCAAAAAATGATTTAAAGTTGAAATAACACATTGCCGAAAAAAACACATTGACGCTAATATATATATATATAATCGAATAATTTTAATATAGCTTTGTTAATTGAGTGCTTTTAAATCAGATATTGGTGATGTTGCAAAAAATTCTAAAAAAAAATTGAACGCGTTCCCATTCAAGTTTATATTTGAAAAAAGGAACGCGTTCACGTTCGTTCAAAACTTTATGAATGAATTTTTTTAGGGATGTCTCCCTCGACAAATATTGAAGATAGAAACCCTGAAAACCCTACTTCCCAACCTCATAAGATTTTCCATCCTAAGTTTATAATTTTTTCAAAAAATTTCATTTAATATAAAAATGCTCCATTTTTTTTACCCAATATATTTCTAAAATCAATAGTTTTGGTGAATACAGAAATATTTTTTATTTATTAATAAAAAAAATTTCTTACTAAATTATAAATATAATATAAATTTTTATATATCATATAAAATTTGATTATTTATAAAAATATATAAATTTATTATACTTTAAATAGTGTTCAACTATTAAAATATGAAACCTTTGATAAAAACTTGATAATAATAGCGAAATTTAAAATAATCACATTAAAAATAAATTAATTTTAAAAGATATAAACTATTTTACTAATATATAATGATTTTTACTACGCAGAGGTACCATTTGCACAACCCAGCCCGGCCCGAATTTTTTTTTAAAATTTTCAGGCCTGACCCGGGTATTTTTTTTCTAAAAAAATATTTTTGTCTTTTAATATTTTACATTCGTCTGTGACAATTTAAAACTTGACTTAAAAAATTTGGTAATGTCATCATCATTTTTTTTAACCACAAATATTGTTCAACATATTGGATATCCTTACTTTTTATATTCAGAGCACCAGCACCTTTTATAAAAATATTTGATAAATTATATTTATAATTTTTTTTAATCAAATTTTTTTGGGTGAGAGCCTATAATTTGCTAAATTTAGCCTTTACAGTGAAAAATTTCTTCTTCACTTGATCATAATTCAGATTATATGTTTTTCCAATTTCCTCCCAAATTTTGCTATTTTCTACAGAATCTCTGAATTTTCATTTTTGCACCAGAGGTTCCTGTGCACTCTTATTATGTTCTCACAAAACAAAAATCTGGTAAAAATAAAAATTATATTATATTATAAGGTGCTGGTACAACCAGCATAAAAAGTAAGGATTTTCTATATGTTGAAGAATATATATATGTTTAAAGAGAATGTTGATAATATTAACAAATATTCTGAGTAAAGTTTTAAATTGACACAGTAGACAAATGTAAAATATTAAAAGACAAAAATATAAAATAGTTTTTTGTTTTAGGGGGACAGTATTATTTCATATTTGTATATAAAATTAATATATTATGCTGCAATCATACCTTAATGAAATTGCTAACCCACTTAATGATAAAAATATTGAGCAAAATATTGAATTTGCTTCTTGATACTATAATTTATGTACATTATATTACTATTATTTGATATTTATTAATGAATAGCTAGATCAAGATATTGCTAACAAAGAAAATGAAAACCCTTATAGTCATTAACAAAAATATTCCTATTCCAACTTTTAAAAAAAAAAATTATAAATTTATGATGGGATTTTATCAATCTTATTTGAATCAAACTAATGCAATGTCAATTGAAGATATATTAAATTTAAAAAATTAATTTTTGAAAATTTAGCTTGATATATGTAAAATATCCATATTTTTTATTATATTATTAACTCAAATAGAATAATTTTTATATATTAATGGAAAGATTATATTCCTAAATAAATGAGTCCTTAAAAACAATTATTATTTTAGGAACTGTTTATTAAATATTGATACAATTATTTACAACATATATGTATTAATTAAGTATATAAATAATATTTAAATATAATTATTATCAAATAAAAGGTTCATATACAAAAATGTAATATAAAATATTCAATACAATTAAATATTTATACATCTTTGAAATTACCTCTTATATTATTATAGTTCTCATTCAGGCGATGGTATTGAGATTCGGTAGAATCTGGTAAAGGGCATTCTTCATTTGAATTAAGCTCTATATTTTGATTGCCCTCTATATCTATAATTACATTATGTAAAAGACAATATGACTTAACAATCTGAATTGTATTAACTATGTTAGCTTCAGATAATTTATGAAGATGCCTAATTTTGGTAATTAAAATCCCAAAACATTGCTCAACTGAGACTCTAGCACAAGATAATTTATTTTTTGGGCATTTAAATGGTTTTTATAATGTTTCATCATGAAAAGGATATGCATCATCTCCTACAAATACATATAGATGTATTTATGTCTGTTGAAGGTAAGAAATTTGGATTAGGTATCTTGATAATATTATTCATCATTCCTTGATAAAATTGGTGGATGTGTCCAAAATGTTTTTTTTAAATTAATTTGTGAAAATTTATGAATCTTAAGGATTTTTTCAAAACATTTTGGACACAGCCTAAACTAATAATACTTTCTAATTTTTTATAAAAAATTTCCCATATTGAATAAATTTTTATTCGAATTTATTAATAAAATAAATTTTTATAAATGACGAAAAATGATATAGGCCACTATTCTATTTTTAAAAAATAGCTTGTTATTTTTTTCTTCGAAATATATATATTCATTTATATTTTTTAGATTTTGGATACAGCCTGAATAAAAATAATAAGGTTTTCTAAAGTTGAACGAAGATAAAAAGACGAACGCCTTCGTTTACAAAGTTAGATATTGGAAACGGGGGTTTAAACTTTAAAGGAGTTTTTATTCTGACAATTTTTTCAAAAGGTGAATCTGATTATTACAAAGGAGGTTATGATTTTTATATTTGGCTCAGTATAGGGTTTCTGGTTTTGGTGGAAAACTCTCAAGTATGAATCCACATAAACCTTTGAGACAATTAATATACCAGAGACCTGCAGAGGTACCATTTGCACAACCCGACCCAGATCTTTAAAAAAAATTTTAGGTCCAGATATATATATAGAAATTAGAAGTACTTATGTCATATCCGGTTCGGTAAATTTTTAAATAGGTTCCAATTCCTAGAAGGAATTCCAGGATGAGATTCTAATGCTTAGATTTGATCCCATTCCAAAGGTTCTAGTTCCCAATAAAATAAATCTTAGCATACTTTCATCATATCTACGTATAAGATAGATATGAATGCTCATATATAAATAATAGATATATATATATATTATAGATTGGAGATAATAACCTTCAATAATTTTGATGTTAACGAAAGAGGTGGCGAATGATTGATTATTGGTAAGATTTTTGACGACGACATGAGAATCGTTTGATTGGCAAGAATCTACATCCAAAAATTCAATTTCGGAAAATACCCAAAGATCGGTCTGCTCATTCTTGGCTAGACATTTGCTGCCCACCGATATGTTACTTTTTAGTGATTATGAATGGGTAAATTAATTTCGTATAATGCTAAAGCAAATGATTTATCTCCCGGCCTTCCTTTTCCTACGTTCGTGAAATGATTTCTTATTCGTGAATCAAATTAGGATCTCGCTTTTATAATGTATTTTTAATTTGCAAATAATATTGTAGTTAGGATTACTCATAATTTGGTTCAACATAATCTCTTGTATCCCGTTTCTTCACTACATGACCGTGAGAATATCTAGCGTAAAATAATATATAAATTTTAGGGGGCAAAGTTTTGTAATTATTTATTTTCCAAAAATAATAAATACATTATCATTTTTATTATTCTTTATAAATGGCCATGGATATTTGGTTAAATAGCAGATTTTATATTTGATGTCATTAATTAAAATCGATTGTTTATTTATTAAAATATCTATCATAACATGCATTTCAAATTTTAGATATAAATATAATAATTATTTGTGATGCTTGATTATTTTTTTTTCCTATGTATTTTACATGAAGCAATTTTAGAAAATTGTTTTTATAAATTATTTGCTCAAATTGTACTATATTGTAATGGGCAAATATTAAATATCGATGTTATGATATACTTTTTAACTAATGTTATAAATATTAAGTTCGTTTTTTTGAAAAAAAAATGAAGAACGACTTCCTTTATTTTTGCGGACTTTGAACCTGTTTTTTTTTGACGAACGCATTCGTGTTTAATGTTTGTTCAATTTTATATCTTATTTTTATTAATTTGTAAATAAAAAATATTAATTTAATGGTTATTTTATAATCAGCTGTTTCCAATATTACATTTGAATTTTTTTTTGCCCACCGATACTGTCCTATTGTATAGTATAATTTGAATATTATTATTTATATTTGGATGTTGTTATTTCATCATCATCATTTGATTCTGAACATTAACCACATGGCCCAAATATAATGTATACTTTACAGTAACATCCAATATTCAAGGAACTAATTCTATCCTAACCAAATGTAAAATGTTTCCAAAAAGTATAAAATAAGTTTCAAAATCTTCAAGTTAAATTTAAAGAGACACTTGATTGTAATAATTATTATTTGATATAATATAACTAATAATAGCCCGATAATAATTTATGTTAGATTGTTGTATTTGGGCTTATTAAATTATTATAATAGATATATAAAATAAAAATTTTTAATGTGATTCTTTGAAATTATAATCTAATCACTATTAATTTTTAATTTTCATCAAAGGTTTTATATTTTAATTGTTGAACAAAATTTAATGTATTACAAACTTATATATTTTATAAATAAATCATTAGTGGGATTCAATATCCAAATATTATTATCATATATATATAATTATTATTTAATTCTCAAACTTGCAATCGTCACAATTTTGTCCCATTAAAAATCGATCACATGGCTTCATGGCAGTTACAATGGGATGACTGAATAGAACGACTAACTAATATTTTTAAAAAGTTTAAATTATAACTTTTTTTGAATTATATATAGTTAGCCCCACCCCCTTCATTTTTTGTTAAATTTATAAAATTTCTTTTTCTTCTATGTTGTTATTATTATAATTGATGATATTTTAAATTTAATTGATTTTGTCAATTTTTTTTGATTACGCATTATCGATTTTTTTTTATCTTAAATATATAATACGCCGCCGCCAACAGAAGACCATTCCTTCATTCCCCCCTCAGGAAAGCGTCCAATTCCAAATCCGTCATTTCTAAATCTACTATTTCTGGTGCTTCTACCGGTCCATTGCTTGTAGTATCCAATGCTTCCGCTACCGTAGGCGCAAGTACATAAATTTATATATTTCCTGGGATGATCATAAGAATAAGCGTATATACGCAAAATACTGAGGAGCGTTTATCCGAATTCCCTACGCCGGCGGTTCAATCCAGCCCGATACAAAGAGGACGAAATCCTCCACGGACTTGTTATCTCTGCCAATCCCGAGACCACCTACAAGATCGGTGTCCGCGAAGACCAAGGCGACAACTAGAAAGACAGCCAACCCGAGATATCCAGACGGGACCAGGGATACAGGAGGTACCTGTGTCGAGGGTGGCGCCTACGGTAGCGGAAGCATTGGCTTGTCTATTTTATCATTGGACACAGGATTCAAAAGCACCAGAAATAGTAGATTTAGAAATGACGGATTTGGAATTGGACGCTTTCCTGAGGGGGGAATGAAGGAATGGTCTTCTGTTGGCAGCGGCGTATTATATATTTAAGATAAAAAAAAATCGATAATGCGTAATCAAAAAAAATTGACAAAATCAATTAAATTTAAAATATCATCAATTATAATAGTTATATTTTTATTTTGAAGTTAAAATTATATATTCCTTATTTTTGTAAACTTCATCTTGATTTGTGCCATTGCAATTTGTTATATGAGTATCGAATATAACTGCATCGTGATATTTAGGATATATAAAATCAGAAAAATAGGCTTGACATTTGTAAATTTCAATATTCTCTGCCAATAATTCTTCAGAAGGTTTAATATTAGCATTTGTACCCCCGATATCATTGTCTTCTTTACTTTGGTCAGGTGCAATGGATATATAGTTTGACGTCTATATATAGTATATATAAAATATTAGAAATGTATGAGTAAAATAAGTAAACAAAAAGCAAGTGTGATACTTTGAATATAAGTTATAAGCCTAAACACCTAGTGAAATATGAATTATTTGTATTTGATAGTTAATATCTTTAAAAATGAAAAAATGGATCATTAAAATTTAAAAAAGTGATTTAGAGATATGAAAAAAAATTTAAAAAAAAATTCCATAAGGAACATGAAATATTTATGAATAATTTCAAATATTTTCATTTAATTTTTTATATTTACAAATTATTTGGAATAATAAATGAATATTTCAAAATTATACATTGAATAGATAAAAATTTGTCAAAAAACCATATTTTCTTATTCATATTTGATTCAAATAATCAAATAATTTGTTTTAAGTGTAAAATGGAATGATAAACTATAACTTACACCTCAAGGTTTTCTCCAAACAAGATAACCAACATTATAGAAAGCAGAATTTTTTTTAAAATAATTCCTCAAAGCTTAGTTTGTTTTTTGGTGTGGACCTACAGATTGTGTCAATAATTTTATTAAAGGATTCTATAGGGTGTTTAAATTTTTTTAAAATTTTCAAATAATCTAGAACCAATACCTTTTTAAAAAAGTGTTCATAGTAACCAGAAGTGACTAGTGAGAAATATTTTAAAACCAGTCTCTTTCATAGTCTTAGCTTAACCCCAGTAGAAGTTAAAAAAAATTATTGGACTGGGCTAACAAAAATTAAAGACAACAGGTGTAAGAGAATAGAGATAAAATTATCCTAAAGCCAAATTTTGTTAAACTTTAATGATTAAATGACTTGTTATAATTATTCATTTATATAAGTGATTTATTTTCTATATACTTTGTTTGCTTTAATAAGAAAATCATAAAAATGAAATCCTCATCATTATTGGTTACCATTGCATATATTTTTGGTTTTTAAAAACCAGGCTGGGGTTGGCAAGCTTAATAAAAAAAAATTAGAATCAGGCTAGGCCAGATATCAATTAGTATTAGCTGGGTCAAGCAAAAATAAAATACCAACCAAGTCAGGCCTCATTTGCATGAGTCTAACCTACATATGGTTACATAAATAACTTGTGGTGGTAGCCTTATTTAATATTTAAACAAACCTCTATAAACATGTGTAAACATTTATAAGGGTTATGACCCCTTTTAATTTTTTTTAAAATAAATAGGTTCAGTTCCATTTTCAAGATTTGGTTACATAATGATAGGAACATTAAAAAAATAAAAACATAAACTATGTTAATTTATATAAATTCAAGATGATAATAAAAATTTTACTACTTCATATTTTGTTTCCAGTAAATTTAGTAATTGGTCTTTTTTAATAGCCAAAAGATTTTCTGTATAAATGAATAAGTTGGAAATAAAATGGCATCTTCAATCAACCTTCTCTTGTCTTTATGACATCTAGGAGTTGTTGCTTTATTCTGTCTATTCCATTTGCATTATTAAATTCAGAATTTGCATCAAATAAATTTCCCAAATCAGTTATCTTAAACAATTTTACATATTAAAAATATAGAAATTAGTAACCAAATCATCTAATCTTTTAAAGGGATTAATATATTTATTAAACTATATATGCAGCATAATGAAAAATCATATCCTTAGCATATAATTTAAGCAGATTGATTTATGTCTCATTTCCAGTAAAATAAATTATGTATAGTAAATTAAAATATAAGGGACAAACGAATTATTAGTTTAATTAATACAAGTAAAATGTGGAAAGTTTGACTATCAATGAAAAATTACTTGTTTTTTACAATTTTCTATTGAATCTCGTATTTCTTGTTCATTCATTTTCGACGTCGCACCCATCAAGACGCCAATAACATTAACAAGAATTTTAAAAGTTGACAAATAAAACAAAATATAAAAATTGTAAAATTGTGGAATAAAAAATATATAAAGAGAAAAGTAGAGAAAAAATCGGAAAAGAGAAAATAAGATGTGAGATAAGAATAAAAAGAGAGAAAAGAAAAAAATGACTTAACTAGGCAATGGAAAATTAATTTGACATTTAGATTGCCAGTGCTTGACCGAGGTAGAATTCTTCTTTTGAGTCCTCTCCAAAATCAGTCTAAAGTATTTCTGTTAAGTCTTGAACTTGATGACCGATAGTTGCAAGTCAAAATGACCAAAAATAATATGATAATATGCATACCAAGTCAATCTAGAGACTCCACCTGCTCTTCTATTGCCAAAGGCCATTTGGTGGAAAGGAATACGAGCAGAGGTTTGCTTTGTAAACGAGTTGCATAGAGCATGCCGGATAGCTCGCCCTTCTTTTCCTTTGATGCTTTGAGGGCAGTGTCTATCCAAATTGACTTGTTTGTGCCATCTTGCACATTTATGTGAGAGGATAGAATTGAATCGTTTAAACGAATAGCCAAGGCTAAGCGATATTCATGGTCATTGAGTTCCTAGCCAAGATCTTATATGGGATTGCCTCTTAAAATTATATACTGAAGCCTTGTTCAAAGAAGCAAAGTAAGAATGGACAATTGATTTCAGATTTGTGTTAAGTTAATCAACAGTACCTTCAATCATGGCCGCATTCCAGTTTTCCCATGCAGAAGTGGAAAGATTATTGTCAGATGCGTGTTTGTTGCGTATTAAAGATATAGTTTCATTAGTTAAAAAAAATCTGAAGAAACAATGCTAGATGAGATGAATCCGCAAATCTCTAATGTGATAGGAGACCGAATTCCAATTCCTTCATTGTAATTAGGGAGTGTAGCTTGGAGCCATGCGATATCATAAATTAACAATTTTTTTACGTTATTTATATTATTTTTAATAGTATTGTTAAACGGCTCGATTTGAACCGATTTTTAAAAACGACTAACTCCACATTATAGCCAGGAAAATATTGCCTAAGTGTCTAGATTTTGCCAATAGATGCTCAATACTATGTGCCATATATGAGCAAAAATTTTTAGGCTTGCATAACATTTTTCTGGATAAAATATTGAGTTAGCCGTTTTTAAAAATCGGCTCAAATTGAGCAGTTAACAACACTAATTTTTAACTTAAATTTTTTTTTAGATTTCTTGTAAGAAGATAATATTGGATTTTAATGGCATAGAGATTTTAAAATTCACTGTGTGACGGAAGGAAGTATAAGAGTTCCTCAAAGTTGTAAAAGATGTGGGGTAGTGGTTGATTCTAAAGCTAGACATCCACGCCATTGTCTCGCGAACAGATATAAATATGTAAAGCACGAATGAATTAATAAAATAATCAAAATTCATTATTCAAAGCCGATGTTCCTTCACATCTCGAACCATAAGATACTTCTGTTATTAATAACTCGCGGCCTGATGGGCATAAATTAATATCCTGGGATATAGTGAAACAGATGTATTGGAACTTAACGTGTATAAACATTTCTGCTCAGCGGAAATAAGGAAATCCCAAAAATATTCACATCTAGTCGACTTATATCCCTTGTGGTCTTAACAGCTCATTTGGGAAAAAGCAAAATCCCTAATCAAACTAATTAGCCTAAAGAGCCATAAAACAACAATCGATTAAACAAAAAAATCAGCTTTTAAATATAACGCAACAATTTTAAATTACCTATATTCATGGCCGTCACCAGAAGAGGGTGACTATTTTTAACAAAAAAAATTTATTTTATACCACATATGTTATCATGTTTTCGGAAATCAAATGGCCACGTAATGCTAGGCACTGCAATCCACAATATAGAAAGGACTCAATAGTTATTGATCTTACATATATTCTTTTGCTATTTCAATCCTATTTTAGTCAATATGTGATGGATCATATCCCCACTTTGAATTAATTTGAAGAAATCATCAGTTTATTCACAGCTTTTGTGATAATTTGTTTTTTGATGATTGTCAAAGATTTCTCTAGCATCTTTGTACTTGTTAAATGGAGTCTTAATAAGATTGTTAAGCTTAACTAAATTTCTTCCAACATATTTTTTTTACTTATTAACCTCCCCAAACGTTACACTCATTTTTCTTTTTACGGCGAGTGTGAAATTATGATGCTAGACTATTCTGAATCTCTTATTAAAACCACGTAAACACCTGACCAGACTTATTTTAATCTAAACTTTATCATTCAATTCACTCAATGGTGCGGTAATGATGGATGAATTCCGATAACTTACTTTAAGAAATTGCTCTGCAAATTATGGTTTTGAAAAGCTCGTGTAGGTTCGGAAAATAGAGAAGCATCTAATGGTTATTTAAGCCCTTTAAATGCTTTGTAATCAATGCCAACTTTGCTTTGATACATAAATTTATATATATTAAATATCTTAAGAGAGATTAATTATTATTTTTGAATGATTGGGTAGGCGGATTTCAAATAGATGGGGTCATATCATTACATATACACATAATATTGGAAACATTGTCTTCCATGGACATAAATTGCAATTTATTTTAAAGAATTTGCTCATCTTTAGTTGTTCATAATTTTAACTGATAATGATAAGTATTATAAATCCATATTTATTATATATATATATGCTGATTATAGATTCACCCAATATTTTATTCCATAATACATTTATACAACATCATATAGAATCCATAGATAAACCATCCATACACACAATTAGACGGAAACAATAATAATGATATGGATAATGCTAAAATCTATATGAGTGTTAGGTAGCTAACCTTCACTCGATATTATATCATACATATATATAAAATCATAATAATATTATATATATAAATAAGGGATATGGGAATTCATTACATAATAAACATACATATATTATATTAATATTAAAATATGTAAAGTCATTTAATTATGAATATAATTTCTAATTTACTACAATAAGTATACTTTATTATCAATTATTTTTAAGAGCTCTCTCCACATTCATGAAACCTTTCAAACTAAATATTTATTATTTATTTTGGATTTATCTAATCTTCAATAAATTCTTTCAAATTATTCCAAACTCATTAATCAAAATTTATTTGCTTTAGGTTAAATAATTGTGTCAATTCTTATCTTCAGTGATAAAAAAAAAATTTTTTATATGGAAAAATGCAATTTTTAGACCATAAAGTATATAATCGCTTTATGATTTTTTTTTATAAAATTTTGATTATTTTCTGTTTTGATACGATTATTTTAAATTAAATTTCAATGGTTTTATTTTAACTGATGAATTTGAAATTCAAATTTTTATTATCTTGCTTTTAATGTTAATATATGCCTAGGTTGGCATTATTTAAAGAGATAATATTCAAGGTAATTGAATTTTTTTTTATTAGAGTATATAGATATAATTTTGGTGTTACCATAAAAAATAAATTTATTTTTGTCATATTATTGAAACTACAGATTACTGGCTCGTCTAAAGGTAATGTGTTAGTTTAAATATTTTATAAAAAAAAATTTCAATAAGTATCTTTATAAATTTTATAAAGATATTTATGAGCACTATATTTCAAAAATAGTTCGCAAAAAATTTTCTTTTTTTACTTATTTCGGAAAAGGAATGCAAGGAGCCAGATTTTTTTTCCATACCCTAAGACACAACATATACAGAAATGTCACATTTTTATGTTTGGAATTCTTTATCTTTTATTCTTGGTACTCTTACAGTTATAATTCAGGGATTTTCCGGAAGCTTGAGAGTGGCGAAAATATAGCGCTACCATTTTCCGTTCCTAATACTTCTCATATTACTGATACTTTAATAAATTTTAACCCAGATTTAATAAAATATAGTAAGATTTCTTCTATTTCATATGACTTAAATATGCCTCGTTGTAAAATTTTACGATTAAACACGTCCATAAACGTTATAACCCCTTATCTAGAGCTCAAATATTTGAGCTATTCGAAATTAGATTGCATACAAGATGTAAGAGTACCTTTGACATTTTTAGAGTCTAAGGCTACAAATCGTATTGACATTTCGGAACAAGATTCGAATTTCAAAATTATATTAGATACTAAAGTGCTAGAAGCTTATTATGGAGGTTCAAAAAATTTAGGAAGCTGTTATTACTTTCAGATACTTAGAGATGACAAATCCAACCTTCCTGATGATAACAACATTCTTGGGGAACCTGTTTATTTTAATACCTCAACTTTAGTTTACATGTCCAACCTAGCCTCTTTTCAGATGTCGTTCACTAATGTCAAGCAGCAAAGCTTTGATGTCTACCTCAGTGTGACATGTCGTGATAAAAACAACTCCGTCATTTATCAAAATGCCCACATAGTTCCTGCACGAGCTGTAGTGACCCATTATATAAAGACTCAAATAAAGCGTAATTTATTAAATGAAGCCAAATTAAGCAATAATAGATTGAACGTACTACTAATGGGTGTGGATTCAACATCAAGGGGAAATTTTGAGAGGTACTTTGATAAAACTTATAGACTTCTTAGTTCTCTCAGAAAAAACGTTTACTCCTATAAAGGTTATTGTAAGGTAGGCGATAATACGTACCCCAATTTAACACCTTTATTCACTGGAAAATGGGTTTCGGAAGAGTTTCCACATGGATCCATAAAATATTTTGACAACTTAAGTCTGATTTGGCGTGAATACGAAAAAAGAGGGTATGCCAGCATTTATTTAGAGGACGAACCTATTTATGCAACTTACAACTACCAAAAAAATGGTTTTCTGGCCGTTCCTTCAAACTTTTACTTTCGACCATTCTCCCTAGAATGGATGAGATTCATGAACCTCACAAAACGTTACGATCATTGTTCTTTGTATGGCAAGAGTGAAATTGACATGTTGCTAGATTATTCTGAATCTCTTATTAAATCAATGGAAATTCTTGGTCAGCCTTATTTCAATCTAAACTTTATAACGAAATTCACTCACAATAATCTTCCGGGTGCAGCCGTGATAGATCAATTAATTTCTCTTTACTTTAAGAGGTTATTGGAAAAGAAGCTCTTGAAAAACTCGTTTATAATAGTTTTTAGCGATCATGGGTTGAGGTTCGGAAAATATAGAGAGACTTATAATGGTTAGACTCTACCATCCATATTTGTTTATGGATAATTTGATTCTTTTATCTTTATATTTAAATCTAGCATCGTTACTCAATGATAAGATCTTTTTGCAATTTTTTCCCCATTAATTATATTGGAATAATTTTTTTTTGCCAAATTACATCTTTTCTTCTTTCTATACTATTGAAAATCTCATTACTTTTTTTTGAAAAAAATTCTGAATTTCTTAGAAGATGAATAGTATGTGTAATAATGTGCACATTATGCAATTAAGGGATGCAAATTTCAATTTTTTCTCCAATAATTTTTATTAATTAGAAATATATATAACTTTAATTAAACACAATAAATATTAAACTATTAAATATTTTTATTTTGGTGTGTAAATATACTTCAACAAACGACTTTCGTTCAAATAGTCATATTGGCATTTTACATATTCCCTTCTTATCGTTATATTTGGAATAATTATCCATTTTTTCTAACCTCCTTTTATTATAAATTTTAATGACATTTGGACATTTTATTCTTTTCTTCTATATCGTATCTTTCTCAATCTACAACTCCTTATCTGTTCAGAAGTTGATATTTGTAAGTCATTGATTATGACGATGGCAGCTCAAAGTACTCCTTTCTGTTATCAAAAAATAATCAAAATTGATTTTTCTTAGAGACCTAGACTCGCTAATTAAGGAGGGGGGGGGAGATTGACCTCCAGTTGAATAGTGTTGTTAAACGGGCTTGATTTGAACCTATTTTGAAAAACGACCAATTCAATAATTTATCCAGAATAATATTAAGCAAGCCTAATGATTTCTCATAGATGGCACATAGGTTTGGACATCTATTAGCGAAATCTCGAGGCTTAGTCGATATTTTTCCGGATAAAAATAATGAGTTAGCCATTTTTAAAAATCCTATCAAATTGAGCCGTTTAACAACACTACTTGTTACGGAATATAGGAAATCATCAGCACAGATTGCCACGTGCTCCAACATCGGACAATCCTTCAGCTGGTAACATCTTCCCAGAATATATTATAGCCCTATTTTTTTTTGGTTTTTGAGAGTTATATTGATTCAATCTGATCATCTCTTTGTAGAAAAAAAATAATAACAAATATGAGAGTAATAATCAATTGGTTTTTTTTATTGTCAACTTTTCGAAGACTTCATTTTCACTAAACGCCATTTTTCTCTTAACTATCTCTTTTATCATTATTGGTAATTTTATCTTCTTACGACTAACCTGTTTCATTGAAATCTAGATAATTAAAAATAATTATATAAGCGCATTAATTTTTAAATTTACCGAAATCATTATTATTTGGGGTTGGTAAAGTCTCCTCATCAGAAGTGTCACTAAATTAGAATATTTGCTATCGTTAGATGTGATAGCCCATTTCATAATTCTATGAATAGAAAACTCATACAAAATGAATAATGGTGGTTTTTCTCTCTTTCTTTTACCTACCGCTTCTAGACTTTTAACCTTGTTTCCTATAAGGTTTTTAGGCCTTCTCGTCCTAATTTCATACTGCTTAAGTATGTTCACCAAGATCTTGTTTTAAAGGGTCCACCTTTAAACTTTTAGTATATTTGTATTTCGTATCTTATCATTTTTGATATTCCTGCTATCAAAATCCGCATTCTCATATCTGTAAACTTCACTCGTCTGATTGATTGCCTGACTAAGTTTCCAAACTGAACACTTGTTTACTAAATACCTTTATATTTTTCCATTTCCCTTTTAATTTGCGTGGACTCTATAAATTTGCCCACCCTTTCCTTGGTTCATTTTATTTTTTTATTTCTCTTTCGATTACGTCATTATCTTGTAAAGTACCCAAATATTTACAGCTATCAATTGCCGATATCTGACACTATTATATCGATGCGATCTGTTTCATCTTCATCTATTGCCATATACTCTTTTTTATCCATGTTAACCTTTAGCCCATGCTTTCCCTTTTATTTATCTAATTTTAATGTTTTAATTTATGTCAAAATACCTATATCTTTTTTTTTGATAACAGTAAATTTGAGAAATTTTTTTTAAAAAGCGAATTAAAAATATATAATAGATCACTAGTTTTAATTAACATTTGAATCGATAGAACGTGGCCTTATTTACGTACCATGCAATTGATCCAAAATTTATTTATAAGATATTTATTATATATATTTGTCGAACGGGGAATGAGATATGCAATACAGGGTTTAAGGATATAAGTCAACTTTATAAAGAACTACTCTTAAAATTTAAAATCATTTTGAAAAGTTTTATTTTTTTTTCATAAAAGTTTGCAATGAACTGTAAAGAAGGCTTATTTACTTCTTTTAATTTTTTTAAAATATTTATGAAGAAAAATTGAACGATATTAAAAACAGATTTTCTTGTTTTTAATTTTAATGTTTAGCATTTAATTTTAAGAAAAAGTTAAAAATAAAAAAGGGAGAGATTTTATATTTAATTATTTTACTTTAACAATAAAACCAAGGAATATTGGAAGATCGCATGCCGTTCCTATTAATCATTCCTCCGGACAACTTTTTTAACGATTATGGCATCGAAGAATCCATTTTTTCGATGAATACCAAACGAATCGTAACGGCTTTTGATATACACGAAACATTGCTTCAATTACTGGACATTCACCTGATTATAGAAGAAAAAACTCCCCTTAAACTTTCAAACATGACTGGAAATGAAAGCTTAAAGAATAGAGATAAGAAGGGACTTAGCCTGTTAAGTATGATCCCTTATGATAGGGATTGTGAATCGGCCCACGTGCCTAGTTATTATTGCCCATGCAATTGGCTAGCACCTATTACTTTAACCACCTATTTAAATTATCCAAAACATTCGACGGACAATATTAGCGAGTTATTTCAGAAAATTCTGAACCTTGGAGCCGACTTAATAGTTTCAAAGATCAAGAACGATATACTCATGCCCTATAAAAAAGATTGCATTTTTGAGGAATTTAGACTAGGCACAATAAAAAAATTTATATTGATATCGAAGGCGAATAAAAGAAATTTAGAAGAGTTGCAAGGTTATAATGCTAACGAGGTAAGAAAATATTTGAACAAACTGAGTGAAGGGATCGATAACGGACTAACTTCTTACATATCCAAAGTGATAGAAACTTTTAAAAGTGTCATAATAATAATAATAACTAATCCCTTTCAAGGAATATTCGAGGCTACGTTAGATTTTGATATGTATAATATTTCAAATATATTCAGCCGTGTAGCAGACATTTCTCGCTTGGATGGGTACTGGGATCAATCTTACTGCGTAAACGGGTCAGAAATTAAAAAGTATTGTTATTGTAGAAAGTATCATAATTAAAGCAACATGGATTAAATTTCTTCCTATTCTTAACACTATATGTTAATGTTTTCAAATATGATAACAGTTAGATTTTAACATAATGCGAACTAATTATTTTAAATAAGTTGAATCATATAAACTTCTCTGCGATATTATATACAATTTAAAAGACATAAATATTTTTCTATGTAATTAATTATATATTATGATGAATATCAGGAATTAGTTGTATCTATATTTTATGATGGTAAATAAATTGCTGAAAAAATATTAAAAAGACAAATTTATTATTTATGAATATATAGTCAATAGCCACTTTAAAAATTTGTTTGTTACTCAAAAAGAGGGCATAACTATTAAAACTCTGCACTGACAGTTCTTTTGGAGTCAGTTGGATAGAATCTTTTACATTTTAGGCTGAATTCATAGCGGGATTCGACTCAACACGATTTAACAGTTGATTATTAATATTAATTTTTTCTTTAATTCCTTCCATCCTTGATATTGATCCAGAAATTATTTATTCTAATAAAGAAATAAATTCGTTGCATAAACAGATTTTAAAAATCGATCAGCTGTTAAGTAGTTTCGGATAGGATTTCACTATTATTCCAGCCCTGATCGGGATGCGGCCGGACTTGGACCATCGATAAATTTTTGAATTTTTTTCTAATGTTTTTTTTTCAAGAATAGCAACCAAAAATTTTGTTTTCCTGCGTTTATAAAAAAAAACATTTCTGTTATCAATTTGAAACATCCTACCTTTTTTTTTAGCACAGTTCAATAAATGTAAAATTGAATTAAAGCTAATCCATGATAAAAAAAAAATAATACTAGAATTGAATAGTTTGAACAAAGTTTTTAGAATTATTTATAGAATCGGATTTGAAAAAATAAAGACCAGATGCAGGGCTCTAATAACTAGTGTTGTTAAACGGCTGCTAACTCAATATTTTAGCCAAAAAAATATTGCCTAAGCTTCGAGATTTCGATAATATATGTCTAAACCTTTGTTCCTTCAATGAGCAAAATCCTCAGTCTTATGTAATATTTTTCTGAATATAATATTTTGCTAGCCGGTTTTTAAAAATCGGCTCAAAACGAGCAGTTTAACAACACTGCTATGACATGCTTTATATCTAATTCAGTAGTTAATTTCTATAAGTTATGTTTAAATTTTTTTTCCCTTGATATGTTTTAAAAAAAAAAAAAATTCTAATCGAGATGCCGTCATTTAATTTGTAAATTATATTTAAAAAAAAAATTACGGTAGTTAAATTTATAATATAAATAACACAAAATATACACAATACATTTTTTTTTAAATTAGCTAATTAACAATTAAATAGCTTATTTTAGCTATCTACTCCAGAGACCTTTATGGGCCGGGCCGGCCAGCAGACCCATGCCTGGCTCATTATTATATTTTCAAGTGGGCCTCAACAGGGCCTGGATTAAAAAAAATTTTTTTAAATGAGTTTGGGCCTAAAATTATTACATTTAAATTTAGATTATTTAATACAGTTGCTAATTTAAAGAAATATTGCCTTTTTCTTCTTCTAATAATAATAAAGTTCAGTATTGTAAACAAGAGGATTGCCTAAATAATATTTAAATATTGTTTATTTTCAATAAAAAAAAATTAAATTTTTGGATATGGGCTTGGGCCGGGTTCGGGAAATTTTTTTGAAACTTATCATGAGCTTGGGAATTTTTTTAACATTAGATATGGGCCGGGCCGGGCTTGAGCCTAAAAAAATTTTTAAGTGCGGGCTTGGGCCGGGCTTGGTCAAAAAATTAAGGCCCATGAAGGTCTCTGACTTCGATATCGTTACTGAAGAACCCTTATCATGTATGCTGTTTACCTGTTATTCTAATTATACTTTTATATAATTTCGATTATTATATTAAATAAAAAAGATTCTTAAAAAATTGTTTGATTACACCCACATCACCGACAATAGATTCGGGGTGAGAGAATTCCCCTATGTTATTTTTGAAGATATATATTTTTTTTCATGCCCTATTTTAAGGGGCAGAATTCGGTTTAGTGTTTGGACTCAGACCAATTGATGCCCCTTGTTCTTTTATTATGTTTCATGCATTTGCAATCTCTTCAGGGGCTCCACTTATTTCGTCATCAATATGCCACGCATGGAGATCAAGTTGTAGTTGATTTTTATATTTCTACAATCATGACCTAGACAAAATAAAATTGAACCTAGAGGATCCCCTTGTTGTGAGCCTTTAGTAGATGATATAGTACGGTCCTTAAATTGTAAAAGGGAAGTATCTTGGTTAATATAGTTAATTATTTAATTAACATAGTTTGGAAATTTCCCGATAAATTTGGTGAGAAAATGTTTCCTAAGGAGTGCATCGTAAGCATTGGCAAAGTCTATTTTAATTAGTTGTGCATTAGAGAGAATTTTTGGGAGATATTTTTGGATAGCACCTGTCAATCACTTTTTATACCAACACCTATCTGCGCGGGTGCGAGGAAAATAGTAGCAACATAAGCAAATCAGATCGAGATAATTTGGGTGATCTTCGAAAGACTCTTCCTATGGTTATTAGTCTTATGTCTTTATTGGGTCTCATGAAAGGAATTAGAAAGACCTTTATCACCAGATACTATTTTACTAGAAATGTGAAGGGGGGGAGAATGGTTTTTAAAATTATTATTTTAGAATGATTTTTGCGAGAACAAGCAAGTTTCCGAAGAGGAGATTCCTCTAGCCTCATTCCCCCTGGCTACGCCTATGGGTCATTAATATTTGGAGTTGAGAAGTCTTGCAAGTATATGAGTGGTACTGGTACTTTCAAACCATGTGCTGAACCTCTTTGGAATGAAAATATTTCGCAATACTAAATTTATATGTCCGTTTAGATACATGATAAATTTAGCCCAAGTATATTGGCCTTTATGACTTTTATATTTAATTGATTTATTAATAAATAAAATTTTTGGATCAAAGTACAATGTAAAATATAAACTATCAAAATGCCAGATGCAATATAATAGTATAAAATGTAATTAGAGAAAACGATAGGAAAACAACAATGAAATCGTTATATAAAGCAGTATATATATGAAATTATAATGCGATGGGATGATTCGTTTTTAGCGTGTTGTTGTTCTTCATAATTTCGATTTATTTAGAGTAAGTCCCTTGAATCGACAGATATCGCTTCTAGGTTCCATGTTGTAGTGGATGGCTGGGAGAGACTCGATGTAGTGAGGGGGTATTCACTGTTTCTGTTCCAAAAAGCGAGGCATGCTCCTCGACTTGTCTAATTTGGTCGACTGCTGTTTCGTCTATAGTGTGCCTGTTAAAGAGCTCCATTTGTCCTCGTTCGCCGATCCAGTGTCTTGAATATTCATCAGCGGGGTTCTCATCCGTTGGAGTCTACTGGATATTTTGGGAAACCGCAGTAAACTTGGGTAAGCCTAGCTTGACTAAAATTTGGGTGACCACTATTTCAATTGACGGGGATATAGATCCCCCTTTTCTAAAGACGTAGTATGCCACGGTGGAATCCGTAAAGATCATCGGAAGTACTCCATATCGGTCGATAGCGAAAAGCGTTCCTACACCTACGGTTAGGATTTCTCTTGCATTAATATGGGTAATAGCATGCATTGAGATACTAAAGAGAAGTGCTGCGTCCTTAAAGGTGACAGACATGTTATCGAATCTCTTGAAGGAGATACCGATGAAATCATCCAATGCATCAACATATACTAATTTGCTAACTTGGAATCGAAGGCTAATCGTCTAACAAGTACGATTGTAAGATCGGAATAAGATTAAGACGCTATAATGAGGACTTCATTTAGGAAGGCGATAGCTAATTGACGGTGCCAGTATTTTCCGAAAATGCGATATTATTACTATTGTAAAGAACAGGTATAGGGGGTGTTTAAGAGTAAGGAAGAGATATTGCATGAGTCTAAATGTTATTTTTTATTTTTAGATATCTATTTTAATATTTGAAAGAACGAGTCTAAATGAATTTAATGAATATTATACTTTTTATTTCTAGAAAATATTTTAGAATTTAAAATTCACTTATTTTTTTCATGGTTATTTATTATACTTTTTGTGACATTTTTTTTAAACAAATTTTATTTATAAAAATTTATTTCGGAGATTTTTTTTTTCGATAGGAAATTTTTTCCGGGAAATTATTCACCCGCTTATACTGATTATGATTCTTTAGCCTGATAAATCTTCATTTTTACCCTATCTTGTGTTTCCACTCCATCAAGCATTTTCAACTATTTAAAACGGTATCTTGCTGACGAATAAAACTTTTGCAATCTTTAAAGTTGTATATTTTTGTTAATATATATATGTTAGCGGCAATGTATTTTTTCAACATTGAATCATTTCTTGAGCGCGTTTTATTTTTAATATAAGAATCTGATTTTACCGGAAAATGTAATTCAGCATGTTTAGATTACCTATCTTATCAATTGTAGATAATTTTGTCGTTAACCTTCTAGTCATCTACAATATATATAAAAAATCTATGGAAAAAACTAATATAAATTATATTTGGTTCAAAAGTTCATGACGAAATTGTCTGAAAATCATAAGGTAGGTATTCAAAACATGGTGGAATGCATTTCCGGAAAAATCAGATAACATATATTAATCTAAACTACAGAATCTTTCTTTGAGATTGTTTTTCTTCTCACTTGTTTCAGATCTGTTCAACTTCCTGGGTTCGTATACTTGATAAAATATTATAATCTAAGTTCAATTTAATTAATTTTTAACTAAAAATTTATTATCTTAAAGTTCCCTAGTTTCTTCTTCTCAGTCTCGAGATCACGTGACACTTTTTTACCGCTAGACTCATGTTCGTATAACAGAGACGAATCTACAAAACAGAAAACTAATAATCATTTCCTATCATATACAGGAACGTAGAACTGGAAGCCCTGGAACGTGTTAAAATCTAAGGATCGTGACCCCTAAATCTATTTAAGATTTACTTAGAAACCAGAACCAGTAGCTATCTTTTTTTAAAAATAGTTAGAACCAGGATATTATTTACTTTAAAAGCGTTGTATTTATATCACAAATTAAATTACTAATTATTTTCTGCTTTTGCAGATCTATAATATAGGTGAGTAGTCAGTCTGTAATAAATAGATAGCGATAAATTAGTATTCATTATTAATAAATTTTTGCCTCTTTTCTTATAAACTATAAACGTGGTCTAGGCCTAAATTAATAAATTGATTTCACCTGTTATAACAAATATAAATTAAAATATTAGAAAAATTGAAAAATTAAAAAAAAAAATTAAGTTTAATTTAATAAATAATTTTAAAATAAAAATATTGCGCAAATAACATAAAAGGAACAAAAAAAGGATAGGCGAAATTTTTATTAAAAAAAAGAAAATACTCAAAAATATGTAGAAAAAAAAATAAAAAGTTAGATGTTGAAGATGAAGGAAAATTTAAGTTCAATATCATAAAATATTTTAAAAAATATGTAAAATATATAAAACAAAAAAAAATACTTATATATAGTTAAAAAAAAGGAGACAAATCAATTTTAAAAATTCGTAAATATCATTTTAAAAAAAATAGTTATAAAAAAAATATGGAAAATATACAAAATTATACTAAGAAAAGATTTAAAAATATCATTATAGAATACTCAAAAAATTGGGGGAAAAAAATTAAACAAAAATTAGCTGAGAGGTTCAGCAAGTTTGTAAACTAGCTAAATAGCTGTAATAGACCTATTCAAAACACGAATAAATATTAAAGGAATAGTGTACTATTCGTATGTTCAATTTTTCGCATGAAAAATAAATATTTTTACAAAAAAAAAATATCATAGTGTAAAATAATTCTTACCCAAATAGATTTTTTTTTAAAATTTAATTATTGAGTTTAATATTCTTATCAATAAAATGCGCCATTAGTGCTAAAAGATCCAAATAGCAGATAAAATATGTATCTGTTTATTATTTTATTTACTACCAACTAGTGGTCTGCAAATCCTGGGCAGACCGGGCCTGCTTTGGCCCTTTAACAATTTTTGCACAAGTTGTGTGGCCCCTCCGAAATTTTCCCAGACTTTGCTCATTACAGACAATTTTTACTCAATGTCATGAAGGCTCTTTTATCAACCGTTTTATAAATCAATTGTATTTGTATCTGTGGCATTTGTAATTGTATCATGTCCTAAATAAATAGTTTAATTATTTTGTTTTTCGGTATTATTTAATAGATTTAGTATTTTAGTAAGACAGCTCTTAAAATAATAATTGCTCTACGTACCAGAAATTTTTACCCAGCCCTGCAGGCTGGTTTAATGCAATTTAACGCTATAATATTATTATTAATAAAGAGTTTTAATTTTAACAAGTTATCTTTGAAATCAGTTTTTAAGATAATAGGTTTAAAAAAGAACAATTTTATTACTTATTCAGATAAGATTGGAAAGAAAACTTACTATGATCGAAAAGAGCAGATAACGAATATAGGAACTACAAGTTCTCTCAAGAGGAGCATAATTATATTTTAAAATTATAAAAATTAAAAGGGGGGGGGGGTGGTTATAATTTAGTCCTACTATTTTTATTTTTGGATAAAATTCAAACATACAAAAAGTTTAAAAACTACTATTCCTCAATGAATTCGGGCTTATAAACCTATAATACTGGTTTCTGTTGCCACTTAATGAAGATTATTAAACATCAATTATGCTTCAGGAAAAAACGAAAATTTAATAGGAACAAACTAAGTAACCACCTTAGTGTAAATATATGTCATGTGCAGAGCATTTGATTGGGGAATATAAAGGACAAACTATCGAATCATTATTTATTAGTATTCGAACAAACGAATAATTCGTTATTCGTTTCGTTATCACTCGATTCGAAATAGTTTTTGAATAGGCTTATTGTACTGTAATAGTAACATAAATATACATGTAAAATATAAATAAAATTTCCCACTATATTTAAATCGAAAATAATCTTTTAAAAAACAAAACAACTTAAAATATTTAAGTTTTAATTGCATGTCTCTTTTTATACTTTTATATTTTGTTATAACCTTTGTTTTTAAAAAAACCAGTCTGCAAGTGCAAATGAAACAATTAGTCTACAGTATATATTGTATATCTGCTTATTATGTAGTTGTCGTGTTTTAATATTATAATAGATAATTTTATTAAATTTATATTGTTAATCTTCAGTGAAATAAATCATATTGAAAGAAAAAATAAAATAAAATGAAGAATGAAATTATAGAAAATAAAAATATCGTATTAGAGTGAAACCCTAGTTCTATTATAATAATCCAACATTTTTAATTAATTATAAGTAGTAAAAATTTAAACATTATAAAGTTAGTAAATTTGTAATAAAATAAAATAATCAATCCTTGCTATCCTAACAAACCTCGATTATATAAATTTAAAATACTTTCAGAATTGAGAAGTGGTCTAAAATATTTTTAAACTATAAATTTGGCTTTCAAGTATAACTTTTTTATCGTTATAAACGTGCTATTTTTGTTGCGAGATATGAACTAAGAATTGAATACAAAACTATATGTTTATTTTTTTTTTGAGGTTTGATGACTGGATCTGGATTCGAAATATCATGATACATTTTATTATTGTCAATATGTTGTTTGTGAGAGTAAAAACAGGAAATTGTTTCAATATTAATCTTATTAAGTATTAAATGTATATCTAATCTTAGAAAATTGAGGTAATTTAATTTTATTATTGAAGTATTATCTATTTTTTTCCCTTCAATATATTATATTTAATTTGGGACTTATATACGCCATTTTTTTAAAAAAAAAGTATCCTTAGATTTTATCAATATCAGAAAGAACACTTTATTTAGCAAAGACTATGGTAGGCAGAGTTGTTAAAGGATCTAGATATAAAAATGTGGTATCTGTATCTAGATAGATTTTTGATTAAAATATCTGTATCTAGATAGATTTTTGATTAAAATATCTGTATCTAGATATTATTTTAGACGATGTATCTGTATCTAGATTCATTTAAAAAGTATCTTTTAACAACTCTGATGGTAGGGAACTAGTGTTGCTAAATGGTTCGATTAAAAAAACGGTTAACCCAACCCAATATTTCAGCCAAAAATACGCTGTAGCCTGATGATTTGGCTCATGGATGGTAGAAAGGTTTGGACATGTATTATAGAAATCTCGAGACTTGCATGTTAGCCGTTTTTAAAAATGGAGGCTTTTAACAACACTAGCAGGAACCATAAAATGCATGGTCAGATTGAATCCTTATGACTTTATTCATATCTTCGATTACTAATAATAGGATTACTAAAACATGCAAAATGACGGGGGGGGGGGTGATATGTAAAATGACCCAAAATTTCAAAACTAAGTAATATGCAAGCAAAAATATTTTATAAATAAACTCAAAAAGACAACATAAAGTTAGCAAAACTAAGGAAAATAATCAAAATTTTAGAAAAGCACGAAATTTTTTTAAAAAACTAGCAACAAAAGTAATGCAAAATTATAAGAAAAATCTAATTTTTGAGTGTTTTCTAAAATACTTTTTCATTTTAATCAATTTTTCTAAATTAAAAATTTATAATCCTCTTCATTTTTTTTATTCCATTTTCTTTCCTATTTTAACCTCATTATTTTTTTTATTTTATTTTCATTTCAAACTTTATTTGTTGCTTTTTTTTAAAAATAATCTTTAATTTTAAGTCAATAATTTTTATTAAATTTGTATGAATATATTATCTTTATTTTTTTCTTTCGATTTTCTTTCCTCTCAACCCCATTTTTTTAAAAAATTCTTTATAATTTTACCAGATTTTTGAAAAAATGAAATAAGTTTTCAAGAGCCCAAAATTGACAAAAAAAAATAAAATTATAAGAATAAATTATATTATAACTGTTTCGAATGTTTGTTATTTATAAGATATGCCCATTTCTATTTCTTGCACTTCTTTCTCTGCTTTATTTATGAACCTGTTAAATTTAATTCTTAATCCCTACTGGCAGAAAGAATTTAAGGAATTTGATTAAATTCGGTCATTACGTTTAGATTATTACCAATATTTTAAATTGGAATTATTTGTAGATATCAATACTCTTTGCTAAGAGTCACATATTGGTAATATGCCTTATCAAAATATTACAAATGAAATGTAATTATTTTTTTATTTTGGTAAAATAAACGTAAAAACGAAATATCAAAAATTTGTTAAAAATATAATTAGGAAATGATTTTATTTTTTTATCGGAAATAGTTATATTTTCATTAAAATAATTAACAATTATAAGACGTTTTTATAGGAATTTTGTATTTAACCAATTATGTGGAGAACGACATTTATTTTTTCTTTCCCATACGACATACAAATTTATAAATAGCAATTCAAGTTTGATGGACTTAGAATATAAATAATATAAATATGCAACTTTCACATACTTTCTTTATTTTTTTTTAAACTCAAAGCTTAGTTATCTTTAAATATCAAATATCTCTCCGGCCCATTATGAATGTATCTCAGGATAAATAAGGATATAGATAATATACTCAAATTATGTTTTTTACATTTATAATGCAAAAACAACAACAATCAATAAACATTTGTTACTGGTTTTTATCAAAACTCCTATTTTTTTGAGGTGAAAAGAAATATTGACAATGAAATGAAAAAATTGTAAAGTGGCTATATTTCTTTGTTTATTAATTAAACAATAATACATAAATGTTATAAAATTTTTGCTTTAAATTTTATCATTATCAAACTCGGGTATAAATAGTGAGAAATAAAATTTATCTATACCAAAACAGAAAATATTTTGTGATATTTTTTTTGAAAGTATATAAAAATTAATTTTATAGTTTATTTAAAAAATATATATTTATAATTATAGCTGAAGAAATGTATAACTTTCTGATTCTTATCAACCTAACTCTAGTGTGCTTCGTAAGTTAATTATATTTTTTGTATATTCGTTATATAATAAATTGAATTAATACATAAGGTTCGTGTTATAGTGAGTTTTTTTTTGGTAATTTTAATTTTAGAATCCTCTTCATCTAATTCTTTGATTTTTTTTTTGCCTAGGAAAGGGAGCAGGAGTAAATATATACCAAGTAGGAGGCAATCGTCATTGGTTGAGACGGTTATCTATTTGTCGAAAAAATCCGATTATAATTTAAAATTTGTAGCTAGGGGGTATCTTTAAATCTATCATATTATCGGCTCAAATAAGTGGTGAACAATGAAAATTATTTTCTATTAAATTACTATTGAAATTTTTGATTGAAATCTTCAGTCAACTTCATTATAATAATTTTATTGGAATATATGTATATATATATATTCAGAATTTGAATTTAGTTCAGTAATATTAAAAAAAAATAATATATATATTAACATTTTACCAGATTTTGTATTCACAGCTCGCAAGAGTAAAATATAAAATACATATTTTTTTTAAACTCTAGTTAATATGAAATAATACACATTTCAATTTTAAGAATAAAATTTAATACAGTTTTTCACTGAAGCGTAAAAAAATGTCTATTTAAATATATTTTATCTTCTACAATTATTTTATCTACAAATATTTATTTTTTTAAAGTTGGCTATAGCCACCAGTCAGAATTTGAACACAAGAACAAACCCATTTCTTAGGCCTAATGACAAATTTCCTCAAAGAACGGGAACTCATCAACACCCTGCCCCTGCAAGTATTATATTTTTTTAACTTTATAAATATTCCATTTAACAACATTTGATTTGACGCACAAAAATATATTATAATAATTATATAGGAAATCAACTACAACAACCTCAAACCGACCCCAAGACTCTAACTCAAGAAGGTAAACATGGCTATGGCGGATATGGAGGATATGGTGGTGGTTATGGGGGTTATGGCGGTTACAGACCTTATTATCCAGGCTCCTATGGAGGTCATTACAATTATTACAGACCTTATTACGGAGGTTATGGTGGCTATGGAGGTGGTTATGGGGGCTATGGAGGTGGTTACGGGGGATATGGAGGTGGTTATGGTGGCTATGGAGGTGGTTATGGTGGCTATGGCCGATCTGCCGGTTCGTCCAGCCCCTTCGCTGCCAAACCTTCTCCCACTCAATGATCAGGCTAATAAGAAAATTGTAAAATCATTTCTTATTTTTTATGCATAGATTTTAGATATATTTTTTTTCCTTAATTGTAAAATAAAGAATACATGTATTTTTTTTAAACGTTCAAAATTTATATTGTTATGCATTTTTTTTATAGATATTATACATTTGAAAAAAAAATAAAACATCAATTAATCAAGCAAATGTCTGGAATTTCGATTTACTAAAAAAATAGTATTCTAATATTGTCTGCCAAATAGAGTTCGCAAGGTGTTTTAGCACTATATAAGAATAAGATTCATAAAAATGCTTAAATAATCAACTTTGTTTTTATTTTTCAGATATAAAATATAAACTAATTAAAAAAAATAATATCAAATTTATTGGCCACCGCGAAAAGATACGACGAAAATACTAAAAATCTCGCTTTAAAGTTTTTGTAATTCTGATTCATAAATTTTCAAATCAGTATTAGAGATCAGCAAAATTTTAAACATTGGAAAGGTAGCGGGCCGGTTAAAAATTTTTTTTTTTTTAGATATTTATCTAGCGAAATGAGCAGAAAACAGCTTCTATTTATTAAAAAAAATCATTGTTTTATTTCATTATATTGCAGATTTTATAAGTTCAAATTAAAATAAATCGTCGGGTGGTTTAAGCAAAATTTTTACATAAAAGTGGGGTTGTGGTGAATTAAAAAACCCACTCTTATATATATATAGTTTGGAAATGTAAAAATTAATCGATCCTTCTTTCAGCTCCACAATTTAAGAGCGTTAAAAAAGAAATTTTTTCCATTATTTAAGTATCGTTATGCAGAGGGTGTATCGAGTTTATAAGAGTATTATCGTTAAAATATATTCAAATCCCATAAGAAAAAAAGATGTAATAATTTTAAATGATAAAGTAATAGGAGATAATTGTGGGTAATTTTACAATTAAAGATGTAAACATCGAAAGATACCGAGACGGCACACTAATATGTCAATGACAGCGAAACTATCACTCTAGTCGATTCTGGTTTTTTGATCAACGAATCAAAATCAACTACTTATCCTATGTAAAATTACACCCTTCGAAAATAAAAATATACTACTAGACTTTAGAAATAAGACAGTTTCAGTAAATAATTCAATAAGAAAGCGATTAGAAGCATCTATCATATGTTTTAATAAATATTGCCTTTTTTAAAAGGTTATAACAGTTGTAGTTTACAGAATAGAAAAATCTTTGCGTGATATTTTAATATGAAATAGTAACGAGTTTTTCTTTAGCTTATTAATAACGAATCTTACATTTAGTGTTTAAATTTTTTTTTTTAAAATGAAACAAAGGCAGACAAGTGAATGCGGGTTCTGATATTCCAAATGTTGTTAAACGGCTAGATTTGAGGCGACTTTTAAAACAGCTAACTCAATATTTTAGCCAGAAAAAATATTGCCTAAACCTCGAGGTTTCGGTAATAGATATCCAAACCTTTGTGTCATCAATGAGCATAAAATCTTTAGGCTCGCGTAATATTTTTCTGAATAAAACCTTTGAGTTAGCCATTTTTTAAAAATAGACTGAAATCAACAAACACTAGCTGTTGAAGTAGAAAAACGTCAGCAGTACAGAATTTAATATTTCTTAGGGACATAAAATCCTCAAATATTAAGTTAAATGTTTTATTTTTATATTCGGCAATCCGATATACTCATTCGAGAAAAGAAAATGCGATCGAAATTTTTGCGGGTTTACTATTTATATCTGGAGACTAACAGGCCTGGACCCAGCCATATCTTTCTGAAGCATGATTATGGCGGAAAAAATAATTAAAAAACTCGGGGCCTAAGAACATATTCTACCAGGACCGGGCCTGCTAATGTTCCTATTCATCCATGGCGAGCTTCATATGAGTATGCTTCCAGGGGTCCTTATTATTTATTCATTTTTGATACGGTTCCTTCCTAGGAAGGATATTCGTGTCAACATTTATGAATTTTTCCCGAAATGGGTATTAAATAATAATTATAATATATATTATCTAAAATTATAGCATATATCCTAAATTTTAAGAATAAATTTTAACGAAGAAAGAAAGAATCTGCCCTTTACCGATTACGATATAAAAAAACATATTTGTCTAATTTATATCAAAATGCCTTAAAAATTGAGCAATTGTCTAAATTGGGCAAAAAAAATCTTGGTCCCGAAGGTAACCAAATCATGTTTCACTGAATTGAAATTAGACTAGAATGATAAAAAAAACATCATAAATCATTTTTTAAAAACAAAAACAAATGAAGTCGTTTGGCTTTTCAAACTAAGAATTTTTTTTTATAATAAAATTTAACACATTCTTCATTTTTATCTTCTTTCTTTTAATTTACTCTTAATTTTATTTTCCTTCTATTCTACTATTCTTTCCTACAATGTTGCATCTTAATCTAAATCCTACCCCATTACAAATTATCAGTGACCTGTAGGCCCGGGTACCTGGGCCTTATTTTAATTTTTTTAAATTTACAATGGTCGGGCTGGGCCGGGCTTGAAATTTTTTTTAAAAAAAAGATATCAGGGCCGGGCCGTAATATTTAAATCCAAATATTTGAAATCGTCATTATTAGTTGTAAAAAATCAAAAATAAATAAAATATATTTTAAAAACATCCTGGGCCTGGCCTGAAAATTAAAAAAAAAAAAATCCGAGCCGTACCGGGCAGTGCAGGGCCGTACAAATGGTATCTCTGCAGGTCTCTGCAAACACATAATTTAACGGATATAAATAATATCACTTTTTACAAGTTCCTTTTTTTTAAAAAATTTAAAATAAAAATGTACCAAAAGAAAAACATTTTTCTTTTTACTTGAAAAATAAATAGATAACTTAATCTATTTATTCACTCCTTGAGGACATTAAATTTAAATTTTGATCAATTTATAATATCAGGTATAAATAGTGGGAAAATTTAAATAATTTTCATTAGAAAAAAAAATCCTCAAATACTGTTAAATATTTTTTAAAGTATATTATATAATATTTTATAGTAATTAATAAATTTTCATTTATTTGTGGAAAAAAGAATTGGATTTAGGCTTGTAAAAATGTATCATCAGATCAACATAATTCTAGTGTGCTTCTGTTTCGTAAGTTATTTTTTTATATATTTCATTTCCCTATAAAATATACGATAGCATATTCGATATAAAAATTGATAAAATTTTTTAAAATTTATTATATTTTTTAAGGTTGCTATTACCAACAGTCTTCTTCCAACAAGTATATATTTTTATATATATAATATAAACGATCTTAAAATTTGTATAAGAGAAACAGATAACCCTTTTATTACTTAAAATTAAAAAAATAAACTATTAGATTCAGGAAATCTAGGCCAGAATGTAAGAGGGCAATCTCAAACCGATCAAAGCAAATATGGGGGAAATGGAGGTTTTGGAGGGCCTGGGTATGGTCCTAGCAGCTACAATAGACCTTATAACCCAAGTGGAGGATATCAAGGTGGTTCCAATTACAGACCTTCACCTTACGGAGGTGGCCAAGGAAGTTATGGTGGCCAAGGAAGTTATGGTGGCCATGGCAATTATGGTGGGCAAGGCAACTATGGTGGGCAAGGCTATGGTGGGCAAGGCTATGGTGGGCAAGGCAGTTATGGTGGACATGGCAACTATGGTGGGCAAGGCAGCTATGGTGGGCAAGGCAGTTATGGTGGGCAAGGCAGCTATGGTGGACATGGAAACTATGGTGGGCAAGGCAGCTATGGTGGACATGGCAACTATGGTGGGCCGGGCAGCTATGGTGGGCCGGGCAGCTATGGTGGGCCGGGCAGCTATGGTGGGCCGGGCAGCTATGGTGGGCAAGGCAGCTATCGACCCGGAAGCTATGGTGGTCAGGGCAGCTACAATCCTCATCGTGGCGGCTCTTATGGCGGTGGTTTTGGTAGTCATAGTCGTTCTATCGGCGCAGCTAATCCAATAGCGGTTCCTCTTCATTCGGCAGAAAAACACGACTCGTAGACTCTTTAATTCATTTTCCTTTTTTTAAAAAAGTCTAGATTTAATCTATTTTTTAAAATAAATAACAAATTTATAAATATTTTAATAGATCATACATAGACATCATTTTATCTTATGTTATATAGTATTACTTAAAATGTTGTTATAACATTGTATCTAAAAAAAATTTTTATATAGTGATCCTTGTCCTTTTTAAACATAAATAAATAAGAAACGTACACTTACAGCACTGAAAAGAAGGTATTCATAGTCAGAATTAACTATAAGTCTTTTTATATTTTTCATTGCTATGAGTAAAAGTAAATTTAAAATGATGAATTAACAAATTATATCATAAAATCTATAAGTTTCATATATTACCCCTGAGTGGGAATTTATAAAATTAGGTATCAAACAAGTATTAGTATACCATTTGAAATATTATTTTGTTTCATACTTATTAAATAAGTAAAAGAGGGAGAAGCAATAAGATTTCTGTTTTTGAACTATACTACACGATCATGGATTTATAAAAATTTATGTATTTATTTCGTAACTATTCAGCTAAATAATTTATGATCATTCGTCTATCCCAAGATATAAAAATTTATTAAGACAATTTTAGAATATTTACAATCAAAATTTGATTTTATGCCGTATTATCTAATATCAACTACTGAATCTTCAAGTTATGGTCTTTACTCCATATAAAAACAATTGACTCCGGGGTAGGAGTGGGTAAAAAAAAATTGAATCAATTTTATTACTACTTCGTTTAAAATAAACCGATATTTGAATAAATTATAAATTTTTATTTCATTTTTTTATTAAATATATGCAATAAATTAATCACTTAAAAACAAAAATACATTGCCAATGTAAATTTTTCTCATATGTGGCACAAAGGTTTGGACATCTATTAAGCAAATTTTAAGACTTAGACAATAGGCTAAAAATTGAGTTAGCCGTTTTTAAAAATCGGCTCAAATCAAGCGATTCAGGTATGTTTTTATTCTTGTTAAAGAAGAAAATAGCATTTTTTGAACATTATCAGCCATAGTTAACATTTTATGCTATATTTTGGATTCAGCTAGAAACACATCATAGGATTAACACCATCACAATAAAAATCTGTCAAATATTTTGGCTATCAAGATCAAATAGAATCGGAAGGATTCTGCTGTGATAATATTTACAGATTTATAAGTGCTGCCTGATTTTCCATTCATTTGAGTAGTAAAAGTATCTAAGAAGGGGAAAGATATTTATATTATAGTTATTCTCTATATTAATATTGAAAAGATGGTCTTAAATAGCTGGGAATCGAGACAGACAAAATTAAGTTCACATAGCTCAGCTTTTGACTCAACAATATCTTAAAATTTATTAAATTCATCATCTACATTTTCCCCAATTTCCTTAAGTTCCAATTATGTGCTTTCATCAATTCTTATAGTCTCAATTCAAATGGATGTTAATTTTTTATGAAATATTTTACTTTATTTTGCAGTGAAAAAACGTTTGAAATGATTTCGTTTGGGGAAATTTAAAAATAAGGCCAAGTAAAATTGAAAATCGATATTAATTCATAGAATAAATTAGTAGCGTTTTTATTTCTGCTGTGAATGTGATAAATTAATGTAAATTGGAATATATATCGATAAGATGTAGAAATCAGCAAAATAATTGTTATAATTTTTATTCAAGCACATCTTTCAAAATTTTTAAACGAAATAATTCGGAGACTGAATAATATATTTAAAAATAATAAAAATGAAATATTTTTTATTTGTGCTTGGTGTTAACTCCCTATGTATATTAAAAGGGCTAACACCCATTCAATCTATTTTCAGAAGTAGTATTTCTTAGTAATGTTGTTAACAGCTCAATAAGCCCATTTTTAAGCAAACCTGCAGATTTTGCTTATAGGTGGCACAAATTTGAACTAGAGCTCTGCAATAGGCAGGTTTTTATTCCGCCCGCCCATAATTTATGGAGACAGGGGGAAGGGGGGATGGCCTGGTTTTCCAAATATTTTTAACACTGGGCAGGTTATAAATTTTTTAAATAATGGGGGGGGGGCACGGGAGGGCTAAATTTTAGTGCGAAATGAGCAGAACAGACTTCAATTTATTAAAAACAAAAACTTTATCTCAAAATATTGCATATTTATATGTAGTAAATTGAAAATACATTAAAATAAATAAAGAGTCAAACAAGCACTTAAAATAATTTTTAGACATTGGTAAATTTTTTAAAAAAAATTTATAAATGGGAGAGCGGGTTAAAAAAAATTAAAACAACGTGTGAGCGGACTTTTGGCTAAAACCCGCCCATTGTAGACTTCTAGTTTGGACATCTATTAGCCAAATATCAAGGTATAAGCAATATTTTACTTGTTTTTAAAAAAATCAAATAGAGCAATTTAACACACTACTTTTTAGTTATGTTTTTATTCTTGTTAAAGAAGGAAATGTTTTTTTTATTGGTAGAAAAATATGATAAAATTTTAAAGCTTGCCTTGCTGCGAGTCGAGGTAGATAAATATTCAATTCACAGAGCTCTGCTTTAACTCAACAATGCATAATTTATGAAATTCGTCATCTACATATGCCCTAATTTCCTTAATAATATATTGGTCATGTTTAAAATTATCTTAAATATTATATTTATAAATTTTTTAGATATTATTTCTTTTCGTGATTATGAATGTATATGGATAATGTTACATTCGCACGTCTACAAACCGTTTTAGGATTTATATCTTCATTATTTTAAAATTATCCAGTATTCTTATTCATTAAGTAGTTAATCATAATCTTGAATCATTATTTTTAAAAGAAATCAGTCAATATTTCCTGAGCATTCATGTGATTATTTTCCAGATAATTTGTCTTAGTGATAGAGAGGGATATTCAGATGGAAGTCAACAAAAGAACCAAACCCTAATCACAGAATCGACGATGAGAAAAGCAATTAAGAACAAGAGAGGAATATTCAGATGGAAGAAGAAAAACTGAAGGGCAAACTATGAAAACTCATAATTCTTTTAAATCATATGCTCAATTTATTATATTAATTTACTATATATTTATTTATATTATTTAAATATATTATTATTTATCCTTAAAAGATATACTAACAAATGTGATTATTTTTTAAATTGACATATTAATGAAATTTACTATTATATTGATCGTTATTATATCATACATTTTATATTACGCTTTATATAAATTATAATATTAACAAATATATATTTAATATAATATATTGTATTTAATTTACTATTTAATTTATAAAATTAAATATTTTTTGCTTTATTATATTTTATTTTAGAACTTTTCCAAGATTTATGTGAGTTAAATTTTACAATAAAATTAATTTATTATCAAATTTAAAAAAAAAACAGTAAAAATGTTCTACAAACGGAAATATCCAAATTTGCTAAATAAAATGAACTGATTGGTTTAAATATAAGTACATAAAATTATATCTAATTTTTTTTCTATAAAAACGCGAGATAAGTGCGAAAAAAGGAATTATTTTTCTTTATTTATTCAAAGAGGTTTTTTTTAAAAAAGTGAGGTAGAAAATGTAAATGAGGTCCATGAGAATCAGTGACAAAAGGTGACATCTTGGAACCCTTGCCTTACCGGCGAATTTATTTTCCAGCTACCTGTTGGCTACCGGCCAAGCCATCCCCCTTTGTGCACATATAAAACTCAAGTAGACAACAGGCATTTATAACCTATATCTAATTAGTAGTGATCCAGGTCGTAAAAATGTAAAATAGAACATATGAAGAAAATGCTTTAAAAAAATGATAGCAAAATAATAACGAATTTTATATTTTAAAATTTATTCTAAGCCCATCAAAAATTACATAACATGACATAAAAGATCTATTTTAAAGTATAATGTAAACTAATTTTAAGCAATTTTACATATTTTAGGCTTACCCAAAACCAAATTGATTAATTAAATTTAGCTAGCAATAATTAAATAACAATTAAAAAGAGTTAGCTTTATCAAAACAACACCCTGCAGATCTATTACCCAATAAAAATATTTTTATTTCATTATATATAAATAATACCATATATATTACAACACATATAATATAGTGTGCAAAATTATAATAATTTTTATTTTATATGATTTTAAATTATTATTTTTTTGATATGATTTTAAATTAGCAATGAAAGTTTATAAAAGTAAAAATAAATTTTTTAATTCCCCAATACAATACACAATATTTATAATAAGATTCTATATACTACAAAAAAATTCCCGGCTTAATATTTATGCGATTAATATCAATTATTGTCCCAATATTATAACGATTCAATTTGACTTAATAAATTTCCTAAATTTGAGGAAGGTACTAAATAAAAATATTTCTAAAAAAATTGATTCCTGGTTTATGATGATATACCAAATATTAGTCCCACTGAGGAATAGAATTGAAGATGAACAAATAATTTTTACAAAATAAAATTAAATGTATGAGTAATAGTTTGTGAATGATACTGTCTGTGATTTAAAAAAAATGGAAATTCAAATTTGAATAAACAAGTCATAGATAGTTAAATAAAAGCTTATAAAATATTGCGAAAATATATACAAAGAAAAAACGAATAAATGACTGGAAAATAATTCAATTTAAAAAAAATTAAATAAGTTTTAGCCAATATATATATTATACAAATAGGAAACTTTTGGGGAAAAAGTTATTGATATCAAATTAGCAACTTGTGATGTGAATTTAAAAAAAATATATATGTTTATGAATTGTTAATATGCTAAGATTTCTGATTATATCAATATATTTTTATTTTTTAAAAATAAATATTTTCACGGGGTTTAAAGAGGTTGGATTATAATATAAAAAAATATTATAAAATTAATATTTTAGGAGAAACAGGAGTTTTTACACATTAAAAATTTTATAATTAAGTAAAGTGAGAAAGAGGTAAAATAAATTAGTATATTTTGGTGGGAGGGTGAGGGGTGATTAGAGTTGTTAAAGGGCTCGATTTAAACCGATGCTAAATTAAAATTTTAGCCAAAATAATATTACGCAAGTCTAGAGATTTCAATAGGGGTCCAGGTATTTCTGCCATATGTGCGCAAAATCACCCAGGGTAGTGTAATATTTTTTTTGGCTTTTATATCGGGAAAGAATAGAGGCCGTTTAAAATCGCTAGTCGTGGTTTGATATAATATATATATTAAAAAAAAATAATACTACAATATAATATCGTAAATAATGTTTTAGCGTCAGGTGTATAAAGGATATTTTGTTTTCCTATATATAAAAAAAGATGATGATAATCGCTAGTAACTAATTTTCCTGGATTCTGAACGATGTTATGAGTATTCTTGGGGTTAACCTTGAAAAAGAAAAAATTAATATTACATAATATATAATAAACTAAAAATCGTTTTAGAATCATAATATATAACATTATGATTATAATTTCTACTAATTTTTCAAACCGGGCCCAGCCCCAAATATTTTTTAAAAAAGTTTTGCTGGCCCGGCCCAAACCCGAAATTTTTTAAAAAAATTTACCGGCCCGACCCAGCCCGAATTTATTTAAATATAGAAGTAAATTTTTATAATTATTCAAAATAAAAGATATATGTTATATGGCTTCTAGTTTCTATAAATAAAATCAAATATTTTTATTTTACATAAAAATTCAATATAAAATTGATAAATTTAAGATATATTTTAAAAAAATTTCCAAGGCCCGACCCGGCCCGGCCCGATTTTTAAAAAAAATTAGGCCTACTTTAGCGGATCTCTAATAATTTCTTTTAATTTTTTCTTCTTCTTCTTCAAACTTTTTCATCATTTATATTTAAGGTTATAAAAAATGAGGCACCTATCAATCCAAACACTTTTCTACGAATTCCAAAAATCGTTTAGCATATTGTTCCGGATTGACCGTGGATATATCGGCCTCGGCTCCGTGCTTAACGGTCTTAGCCGCGTGAGCCGTCTTTTTCTTGACCCCGTAATGGGTGAGCAAGTCTATTATGGCCAGAAAGTATATTTTCTGTTTGGGAGACCCTGAACATTCATTGTTATAAAATATACGTGATTATGTGATATAATCAGAGGCCCCGTTTGGATCAGTTTTTAGTGATCCGGTCTAATAATTACCCCTTCCCACGAGTCCTCTGACCTGTCTATATTGAATAAAGTTATAAAACTTTCTCCGAGATCTTTTTAGTTTAATTGTTGCAATTAGAGGACCCGTAAGCGACAATTTATTTTTTTTTATTCTTAAATTAAATGGACGGGAGGAAATTGCTTATAAAGGACATTATTAACTCAAAATTTTTGCATAATTTTAACAAAAGAATGATTTTTAAAAATATAAGGGTGGGTTCCAGGAATACCAATATACTCTTGATTTTAAATACCAATATTAAACCAATATAATATCAAATTATTGATTTTACAAGAACCAAAACAACTAAACTAGGAATAATCGCTCCTTGCTAGTTTCTCTCTCTCTCTCTCTATATGAAGTTAAGAGCAAATGAGTAATCAGGTTGACAAAATTACCCTCTTCCCTAAAATAAGGCGTTTTTAATAAAAACTTTCAAATTTTATCGTTAGTAGCAAGTGCAGTAGATTTCCAACGGTAATAATGAAATAAAACTCAAAAGTGTTTAAGAATGCCATTTAGGTGTCAAAAACATTGCAAAACTAACCGGAACCGCTCGGGATGGCATACACGTCAATAGCGGGATCTATCAGAGCTCTAATCTTGTCTCCCAGAGGTATATCTGCTCCTTCAACCTTTCAAAAATTTTTTAAAAAGAAAACATAAATCAAGAATATAGCTAAAATAAATAATATAATTTTGCATAAAATTTTTTTTAAAAAAAGAATAAAATATGCCTAAAATAAATATGCATATACTATTATTTATATATTTTTTTTATAAATAATGAAATAATTTTGAAAGATTTATATCATTGAATCAGTAATGTCCCTTTTCCCCCTTTTTCTAAGCGATATCAATTTAAAAAATGATTCTTAAAATCATAATCAGTGCCGAATGCAATGGTACACCGGTCAGCTAATATTTCCGTATTCAAATATATATCAGAGACCTGCATGCCTGACTCAAAAAATATGGAACATACATGGATCAAAAATTAAAATCTGGGCCAGACCATAGAAATTTTGAACGAGACCTGAAAATGACATTTTTTTTAGTCAAAACCGGGCTAGGCCCAATTCTGATCTCTGCTACATCATAATAAGTATTATCATTTTAAAAAAAAATTCAGCCCAGTAATATTTTTAGTCTGGCTCGAAAATATTTTCTACAGGTTGAAGGGCTGAAAATGTTGCTCTTCCCAGGCCGTGATCGGAATTGGACCGGCCAGATAAATTTGGAATGGGTTAAAGTCAATAAATGAACCTCGTTACTTTCTCCTCCCCCATCATCCCTCCGTGCCCCTGCATTCGAATAGCAATAGTAGACATTACTATCGGGCCCGGTATCTGGCCCAGAACCGGCTTCGTCGGTGGATAAAAAAATCTCGCCATTTTCACTATCTGGGTCGGTTTCGCGTCCTATGTTCATATTAGGAGGGTTAGGGGTGTTAAAAGACTGCTCGTTCGTAGTGTTGGCATTAGACGGGGTCTGGGTGGCCGAGGTGCAAGGTACAAACGAGTCGAACGTCATATCGTGTATGCCACATATGAGGGAATAATCCATTAAGTTATTTTGAACCATAAACTATAAGTTATAGATTTTTTAAAAAAAATAAAAAATATTTTTTGCTATTTTTTCAATAAAATTAAGTAGTATACCTCGCAATCGTATTTTAAGGTTTCCATGACTTTGAGTTTGCCTTCCTCACCTATGTGTATTTTGATGCCGTCATTAACAAAATCATTATCTTTGAAAGTTGGTATATCTTTATTCTGTCATATATATATACACATAATTTTAATATGGTTCAGGACAGTGTTGTTATAAGGCTCGATTTGAGCCGATTTTTAAATATACGGTTAACCCAATATTTTAGCCAGAAAAATATTGCCTAAACTTTGAGATTTCGCTAATAGATGTTCAAACCTTTGTACCATCTGTGGCCAAAATGTTCATGCCTGCGTAATATTTTTCTGGATAAAATAATGAGTTAGCCGTTTATATAAATCGGCTTAGAGCCGTTTAACAGAACTAGTTCAGGGTTTCCAATAATTTAAAAAGATATATAATTAAAATAGAAATGGCTACGTAAGACAAAAAAAAATCCCGACTTTCCAGATTAAATCCGAAAGATTATTTCTGGTTCAAAAAGGATAGTATGTGCTTTTACTATACTGATCCCATTAAAAGCGTATAAAAAAAATTTGGAATATTTCAAAAATTAAACTAAAAATTCGCTGATATTGAACATAAATACCCTAATTTAAAGCGGTTAAAAGGGGAATTGACTGCATTTTGTTTTTATCTATAATGTAGAATAAAATAAAAGTTAACCTTTTCCTTAATGCTGGCTGACCTTTGAACCGTAGAACCCTGTAAAATAAAAAAGATATATTTTTTAAAAAAAAAATAACAGCTAAGAGAAGTGGGGAGATAAACCATGAAAAAACTATGGTCGATGGTGTCTTTATATCTGTGGTATCGTACGTAAAAAATTTAATAGTGTGATTTAAAAAAAAAAAATTTGCATTGTTGCAAAATATAAATTATGCGATATATTCATTATAATCCTCCAATCAAACCCGACATGAGTAATATATTCATAATTTACAAAAAAAAACACATATGGCCACTAGCCATTGGCGCCTAAATTTTGGAACGTTCAATTATTGATTACTCAATGTAGACTACGATATGGACATAGAAACCAATCAAAAAAAATCGTTACTTCGCCTCTATTTGGAACGTTCAATTATTAATTACTCAATGTAAATTACGATATAAACATAGTCAAATCAATCAAAAAAAAATCGTTACTTCGCCTCTAATTTCTAAGTTCCGTTGTAGCAAAAGTTTTTAAAAAATTTTATCATATTGCAATTGATTCCCCCCTTCCCCAACATATAGAGTTTTAAAGGGGGTTTAAAAAACTAAAATATTAATATTTTTCTTCTAATAATAATGAACCTTTAAATCGTATTTCTTGTGGATTTTAATCTTGTGGCCAAACATATTCCTCATTACTACAAAGTAGGTTTCGCTTCCTTCGACCGTTATCCTGTACATGCCCAGGTATTGAGTTAGCAATGTCTTTCCGTTCCTTTCAACCACGTGCTATAAGCATAATGCAAAAAATACAAAAAAAAAATTATGTTCAATTTTTTCTTGGCCAAAATATTCGCCCGATATCTGTTCCATCCATCCATCTTCAACTTAAATTGAGTCTAGGATTAGAATATTACAGGAGACTCACAATAATTAATCTTCATCTTAAAAAAATATAACACCCCCCCCCCCTTCAGTAATAAGATAACGCTATATCTACATTTTCAAAAAAAATATAATCTAGTGTGTGTATAGATATTGACGCGAATATTTATTGGGTGTAATTTTTACCTTAAATATACAATACAACCCTAAAATACCATTATTATAGAATTTGAATATTGGGATATATCTAGCCACCGATAAAAAAAAGGTTATGATAGACGTTTCAGGTTACGTATGTCATTCATATTGAGCAACACAACTGCGGTAAAATGGAATCCATCAAATAATAATTTATATATTACTATATGCATCGCTGTCCTCCGTAAAGTTATCAAATTAATAATAATCACGTGAGTAATAATTTCTTACGAACCAATTAAAAACGAGTCGATTCGGTCAATTGAATTGAAAAGAAAAGTGCGATATAATTATTCGGATGTCCATGTTGAGAAATCAAAAAACCAATTTTTAATTGGCCTGTAAACCGGTAAACATAAAAAAATATTTGATCCGGATCATTTTTGGAAGTTTTAAGAGTTTGAGTGTATTGTTCTATCTACTTAACTTTTAAATAAAGAAACAATTGGCAATTTATAATTTGCGTTAGGAAATAAAATAAAACTTCAACAAAATGAATGATCTATTCAGAGGTACCGTTTACCATTTTGATCAACCGTTAATTAAAATAATGAGTTTGACCGCAGACATAAAATGGACAAGATAAAAAAGAAGTGGCCATTATTCGAAGTTGCGTTCTAAACGTTTTCACGAATTAAAATCGATATATTTTTATTTAAAAGCAGAAAAATTTTAGATTAAATTAAAAACCTTCTTAAAGTGACTCCGTATCATTCTATTCATTTTTTATAAGGCAAGTTTTCAGAAAAACTTCTAGCTTTGACCAAAAAAAAACTCACAGCTCATTTGGGAATTAAACACTACTTCGTTTTACTAAGTGATTGCTCATTTTATGTAACATTTAGCCAACTTATGATAATTAATTTTATGCGTTGTTAAGCTTAAACAATTTTATGAATATATTATTATGAATCTCAAAAAAAAAAAAATAAATGTTTTATATCATATAAAAATTTATAAAAAACCTACTAACTTTTACATAAGAATAGGAGGGGAGGGGGTGAGGATAGAGAGCTTATATATCGATATTTTATAAGCTGAAGAAAGTAAGAAATTATCGTTTATAATTAAATATATATTTTCTCAAGATCAATAACATTATTCTTAATTTTTAGTAGCGTCTTGCGCTATACATATTTTATAGTAACAAGACAGCTATCTATCAAAATTAATCAATAATATTTTCGACGCAATTCATTTCATCGCATAACCACTCAATTCATAGTTAACGCGAATTATATAAAGTACGCGATATTTTTGTCTCCGCCACGAATTTGCGCAAACGGATGCAATCATTAAAGTTTAACGTATTTTTGTTTCCTATCAAAAAATACCCGGCAATGCGCGTGTTAAATCTAATAAAAAAAATTATCTCAACGATATGAAATACATCCCAGAAACATTCGAATGTGATAAGATTGACAGGAACCCAAAATTTGAAAAAAAAATTCTAAGGAGAGGTTGTGAATGTTTAAATTTAGTGAATGAAAAACACTAACCTGATGATATGATTTGAGTATTTGATGCATCTGCATAACCTCTTCGGAGAAAAGCGTTTTTATAACGAGCCGTCTGTCGAAAGAGGAATAGAATTTGGCACCGCTCTTGCCCGAGTTGTCCATCACTTTCGGTTGGAATTTTGTGAAGGATTCCTTTAAAAAAAGAGTATTCTATGCTATAACAATTAAAACTCGAAGTGATTCATGCAAAATGTTCAGGGAGGAGTCGATGCTCAATATCAAAGATCTGAAAAGGTAGAATCTTTAGGTCTGGCACCTAAATCTATAAAATACCCAGAACCGCGAGGTTAAAAAACGAACAAATCACACTATTTTAAGAATATATAGAAACTAGAACCATAACTACTTTTTTTTTAACCCTTTCTAGTCCAGGTTCTAAAATTATGATAATAGGATTCGGTTTGACCAATAATTGGTCATTTCAAAGATGCATCGATACACACAAAATCGGTCGAATAGGTTTGATGGTATTGGAGCATCTTAGGTTTATTTCTCTGATACCTAAAAAAAATATAGCCTTTTAATTGATTTTAAAATTTATCGTTTAGGAATGGCGAAAATCTTACTAGATAGGATTGTTCCTTGATCCCGAAAATTTCCCTGAGTTTACGAAAAACGATTGGGCAATATTCCTTAATTTTGTAATGGCTGGGCAAATTTTCTCTAATAAAAAATATTACAAATATTTATGTAAGAAAAAATAAAATGGATAAATCATACGTAGAGATGAACTGGATTCGGTATCGAACCGGAACGTTATCTATTTGATATTTGGACGGTTCTATAAAAATGGCGATTCTTTTATGTGTTGCTAAAAACAACGATTTAATTGATTTAAAAAAAACGGATAAAATCCAAAGGCCTCATTTATAGTAAACGCGTTATTTAACCCACGTTTATTAACAAAATTAACCAATAAATACGTATAATATGGAAAAACATATGTTGCGACGTATTTTTCAATAAACGCCACGAAGAATCAGCTGTGATTTCGATAGAAATAACGAGATGCGCGAAGATAAAGGCGTTTACTACAAATGAGGCTCTAATTTATCTATTTTAATCGGCCAAATCGAATTTTAAACAAACACACACAAAGAAAGTGTATCTCTTCATTTATAAATCGCGCATAACAGTACGCACAAATTGAGCATTTAAAATGCTGCGTTGCAAACGCAAATAATGCATTTAAAATGGCATCGTTCCAAATTGGTAACAACTATTTTTAAAAAAAACGTAAACGGGTTTGCTTCTTTCTATACATTTTTTTTATTCTTCATTTTGCAATATCATATAAAATGTAGAGTAATAACTCACTTATATCTTAAAAATAGAATATTTTAGAAATTAAAGAAATAAAAAAGGCAGACGATAATATAATTTTCAAAAGACATATCCTTTTTTAAAACTTAGTTAAAATGTTGAATCAACGATATTAATATAAAAAAAAGGCAAGGGATGCGTTGACGTTTTTTTGAATTAAAAAAATTATGGCAAAACCAATGACATATAATAATACCTAGACTGATGATGCGTCGTTGAATGCAAATCAGCTGGACCCGCACATTTTGGTAACCCACATAGTAATTATTCTCACGTTAAAAACTACTATTAAATTGATAACTTGCTTCCTTATTATCTCGATGATCAGGCAATTTCTATAATAAAGTTTGCGTCAGATTTAGGAATAACTTGGCCTCTCGTTTAAAATTTTTAATAATGATATGGAATCAAAATAGCGTCCCCAGCTGTTTTCATTGTACACATTTAATGGATGCATCGTCAGTCTAGGTACTATTATGTGTCATTGGGCAAAACGCAGACGCTCAATTCGTTCGGACTATTATTTTTATCTAATTCTTAATTAGATTTATTTAATACGTATATAAATAAATTTTCTTTCTTTCTAGATGAGGTACCAGATCCGGCCAAAAAGATGGATCTGATCAGATATATAGGTGGAAAAAAATGGATGCGCAGTATAAATAAATGAATGAAGGACAAAAAAATGAAATAAAAAAACGTAAAAAAAAATGAAAAACAAAAAAAAGGAAAAGGTCAGATAAAATTGTGATATTTTCCTTTATATTTAAACAAATTTTAAAAAAAATCAATATTTTATTATATTATTATTTTTTTTAAATATATTTATTACTTGTTAAATAAATGGTTGTCAACCCTAATCTTGGTGGAAGATTTGAAATCGTCAGGCATGAGCATGACAGGAACCGAAATATGGGTGAGTTCTAAGACCTGTTTAAAATAGAAGAGGAGAAAAATGTTATAAATCCTAAACAATAACTATATTTAGTATGTGTCAGTTTGTGATTGACAGTTATGGACGTTGACCTTTAATATACTTTTAAATCTCATAATTTTGTTCTTTGCCTGACCTTTGATAACTGATTTGAAATTCGAAAATTTGTACTTGTTATTATTTTTAATATAATTGTGGTATAGTGTTATTTATAATGTATGTTGATTATAATTTATATATTATGATTAGTGGTTATTATAGTGATAAATAGAATGGATAAAAGGATTTATATATATTAGTCATTTTTTTAACACCATAAAAATTCCCCTTCATAAATAAGATTGGAGTTTGCATTTTCACTAATGTTGTTTTATACTTAAAGTCTCGATTTAGTCTAATTTAAATCAAGATTTCAGCCAAAATAATATTAAGCGAACCTCTATATTTTTTAAAAAATAGATTGTCCAAACCTTCCTGCCTTCTATGAGCAAAATCTTCATACGCGCGTAATATATGTTGGGCTAAAATATTGGGTTAGCCATAATAGCCAATGAAAATGGTCATCCCGGCAACCGTTTTTTTGCTAGAAATTTTGAAGAAATCAGAAATAAACTCGAGCCTTAATATCTATCGGCTCCATTTAAAAGAAACCGGGTGGCGGATAGGACCGGATGCGGACCTAGACCTAAAAACTTTTTAATATTAACTATATGATTCTAAACGGGCACAGACCGAAAAGATTATTAAAAGATTTCGTTAGAAGATGGAAAGAACCCCCCCTTTTGGTTTTAAAGTCGATCAAGCTCATGCTAAAAAATCTTAAACTGCGGGGTGCTGCACCCCCACCCCCTCGCATTTGACAAAAACTATTTAAAACAATGGATAAACAGATGGCGTATTGTGTTTGTTAGTTTTTCTTTTTGTTAAAGATCAACGATCTATAAAAATATATCATATTAACCCTTATAACTACTCATTCACAGTTATCACGAATTCACTGCGAATAATACATTAAATTTTTTTCATTTTAAAACTCGGCCCGGAATTTGAAAAAAATTTATTTTAAGCCCGGCCCAGATTTCTATTCTTAGGGTCAAACCCAGAAATTTTATAATTTTCGTTATTAAAAATAGGAAATTTCAAAAAACGAGCAGTAAATAAATGTGATTAAAATGCTTCCTATTCTAATATTTTTCAACTAATCAATATATATTTTTTTTTAAATAGGGAATAATTTAAAATTTTTATTTTTAAATTCAATATTATAAAAAATTTCACGAATAATAAATTTTTGATATATCTAAAAAATTAATACCTATATCTCAACGACATAAATAATACCTAGATTGCAGATACATTCATAATAATGCATTTGTGAAAGAGCCGTTGAATGCCAATCAGCTGGACCCGCCATTTTGGTAACCCAAATAGTAATTATTCTCATGTTAAAAATTACTATTAAATTGATAACTTGCTTCCTTATTATCTCGATGATCAGGTAATTCTTTAATAAAGTTTACGTCAGACAAAAGAATAAATTGGCATCTCGTTTAAAATTTTTCATAATGAAATAAGTAACCAAAATGGCGTCCCCAGCTGTTTTTCATTAATGTACACTTTTGATGAATACATCGTCAGTCTAGTTATTATATGTCATTACTATATATAAAAAAAATAAAGCAATATTTAAAAAAAAAGACTATTTAGGTTAAGTTGGCCTTAATCACCCATACTCATGTATATACGATACACAGTTGAATCGGCATGTCGCAAATAGAAACCCCTCTTTTGTTTATATTAATTTTTCTTTTTTTCAATCAACCCGACCCCGGATTTTTAAATTCGTAAAACTTTTCGGCCCGGTTCGGACCGAGTCTCGAGAGATACGAATATCAGAACTAAATAATATAAATATTAGAGCTAGTATCGAGAAATAATGTTGTCCGGTGGGTCTAGCCCCGAGTGGGGTTATTAAAAAAACTCGATTAAGATCTTAGCCAATCGCAAAAAGGTTTGGACCTTCCCAAATCTCGAAGCTCGCATAAATTATTATTTTGACTCTAAAATTCTTAAACGGAGTCGTTTTAAAAATCGTCTAGATTTTAAAACCAAATTCGAACCCGATTGACTCCGAGAATGAGTGTCAGTCCGATCGATTAAGGTTCGGTCGAATCGGGACCGAATTGAATTCGGATATCGGTTTTGTTATAGACTCTTGTGAGTACTCTATCAGTTGAAGGGTATAAAATAAAATTAAAAAGAAAATGATAAAAATGAACTAGTATTTTCGTTTAATTAAATTATATAACCCACCCATCTATAAGTAATTTCATGATAAGTGTAACGTCGTATTGAAATATGAAGTTCATAGATCATTCAAGGTGAGAGATTTTGTAAAAAAAATTTAAAAATCTGATTTGGCCCAAAAATGTGTTCCGGCACGTGCGAAGAGTCTACCCTGCGAATTTTAGGTAATTCACATTTGCGAAATTTTTAAACAATATATTTCTAATCTAATAATGGAATTTAAAACCTTCTCACGAGAAAAATTTCCATATCCCAATACGAAATATTTATACTAATTAAATTATAATTTACAGTAATACCTAATTTGTATTTTTGTAGATAGTATAGGCAGCCCCCCCTATCCCCAATGAATAAAATTTACATTTCCCAATACGACATATTTATACTAATTAAATTATAATTTACAGTCATTCCTAATTTGTATTTTGTAGATAGATAACGGTGGTTAAAGTTAAAACTAGTGTTGTTAAACGGCTCGATTTAAGCCGATTTTTGAAAACGGCTAACTCAACCTTATAACCAGGAAAATCTAGGCGTCGAGATTTCGCCAATAGATGTTCAATCCCATGTGCCACCTATGAGCAAAATCTTTAAGCTTGCATATTATTTTTTCCGGATAAAATATTGAGTTAGCCGTTTTTTAAAAACCGGCTCAAATTGAGCCGGTTAACAACACTAGTTAAAACTCTCTCATATGAGTAAAATTATAAATTAAAAACATTAGCTGATAAACCCGAAATCAAAGTCAGTTATTTATTAAATGAGAAATTAACTATTATTGATTTTGTATCATGTATGGAGGAAAAAAACAAACAAGTTGTAAAACTAATTGTTATGGGGGTGAGGAAAGATAAGAAGATCAATAAATTTAAAATCGATATCACAATTGTATGGCATGGCATAACCAATGATGGATATATTATATAAAGTGTTCATAGATAGGAGTCAGCTGTAGCGCCATTTTGTGATTTTGAGCGTCGATTAATTGTCTTTACACAAAATGGCGCCATTACTGACTCCTATGTATAGAGAGATTTTCAAATGCATTTATTGAATGAATCGCCAATCCAGTAGTGTATGGAGTAGCTGGGAAATTTCCATCTTCTTAAGAAATTCGCAGATTTAAAATGAAAAAATAATTATGAAACTGATAAAAAAAATTAATCACTTGCCCCCCCCTCCTCCATTTTTAAAAATGATAATTTATTTTAAAAAAAAAATTAATCAGGCTCTCTCTTTTTTAAAATTAAAATTTATGAAGCAGTATTAGGGCATGATTAAATCACATTGAAGAAAGAAAAGAAATAATAATAAATTCCTAAAGAAAGAAAGAAAGAAAAGAAAGAAAGAAAGAAAAGAAAGAATAATAAATTCCTAAAGAAAGAGAGAAAGAAAGAAATATAATTTTATACTACCACCCTATATATATCATATTAGAACGCCTGAAGGGGATTTTATTTTACTATAGAAAATATAATTTTTGAGGGCAAAATATATCTCATTTGAAAATACTCTAATTTATATTTTTGAATTATTCAAAAAATGGCTAGTTTTATCAATAACTATATGATATAATGCATTGAAAATAGTAGTAATATTAAAATTGAAAATGAACGACATAATGTCCGCAAATATTATTTATTCTTAAAACTCGCCATAATCAAATTTATAAGATGAAAGCCCACATTCGGCAGTATATCGCCAGATAAGGTATCCAAACAGTTTAACGAATTTTTCTTTCGAAATATCTTTGCCGATAACATCGTCAAAACCCATCAATCGTTATTTTCGAAAACATTTTTTTTAATACATAAAAAATATCAAAATGGGAGAAATCAAATTCTCTTACTTTTGTTGATAAATAAAATAAAAACATAAAATAATTTTTGACTATATAAAAATTAAAGAGAAAAGAGATTCGGATTTTAAAAAAATTTTTTTGGCGAGTGATCAGCTCCTCCTTAAAATATGGAAAGGGGGCTAAAATATCGAAGAAAAAAACTAGCGGGAGGGGGCTAGCCGCCCGTAGCTTCCTCCCAATACACCCCTAGTGTTAAAGGTAGTGTTGTTAAACAGCTCGACTTTAGCCGTATCGGGAAAAATATTATGCGAGCCTTATTTTGTTAATAGATGGCAGAAAGTGAGCATCTATTATCAAAATCTCAAGGCTTAGGCAATATTTTTTGAAAAATCAGCTCAAATCGAGACATTTAGCAACACTAGTTAAATAGTATCAACAATAAATATTCATGTAACTACTCCCAGTGAACATTATTTTTTTTACTGTGGAACCAATATACTCGAGTCTGTGAGCCAATAACCAAGGAATTACTAATCTTGGTGCCACATAAAAGAATTAGATGTGGATGAAAAGGGTTCTTTGAGTGGGCTTCATTAGCATAATCCATAAATATTTGTCCCTTAAAATCATAGGGCATTAAATTTAGGTGTTGATTCAGTTAAAACATATGATGCAGACATGACCCATAAAAAAAACTAACTAAAATAGAATGAACTGAAAATAGATAAGATGAATGACAAATGGGTTAAAAATTCAAAAAAGTTTGGTTGAGTTCAGACAAAATATGGATATTGTATCAATTCCTGAAATTTTACATGTCAAATGTGGTGGATACGTAGCAAGATAGATGTAGATAGTGTTAAGAAAATGTTGTAAATAGGCAATAAGAGGCCTAAAAACCCAAATAAAATTGGAGAAAGGTAATGGAGAAGGATCAAGAACATAGTACCATAAATATATAAGATGTATTATATAGAAGGTTTTGAAGAGCTCACGTGCTGTAAATATAAAGACTAACTTTTGTAAAGAGGAATAAAGTCTTAAAACTAATAGTGTTGACGAAATGATTAATATCTAGATGCAAAGGTCCACAGTAAATATATAAATATTATTACTGTTAATATTAAATGAATTTTTAAATTGTAAATTATATACTTCTAGCATTGTCAAAAACCCCAATTCAGCCTATTTTATTTTAACCAAAAGAATGTTAACAAGGATTGGTCAAAATAGGGCCAAACATTTCTGCCAATGAGAAATCTCAATGCTTATGTAATATTCTTAAAGATACACAACTGTGCCAAAATAAAAAGACAACCAGGCAGATATTAGAATATAAGAATGAACCAAAAAAAACGATTTTAAGATCAATATCAAAATACTTAATAATGATTTATAATATAAGGTATTTTTTTAGTCAACATAATATAGATATCTGCAGTGTACAGATTTTAACACAAGTGGGTACCCAACCATTGTTAGAATTTTATTTAACATGCTAGCCCAACAGCATATGTTTTATTATTTAAAATATATCCACCCAACCATAAACACATTTATCTAAAAAAATTGTTTAAATTATTTAAAAATTATTTTATTGGTTAGTTTGGCTTTTATTTATTTTAATATATTTTTACCTATATTTATAAAATATGCAATATTATAAAACAAACAAATATTTTTTTTAAAAATATTACAATTGTTTGTTCTGATCAATCCCCTCCCCTCCCCAATTTTTTTTTACTAGCCTACCTGTCCATTCATTGTCTTAAAAATATTAATAATGATCTACTTTACCTACCCACATTCAAATTTTTTTAACCTACTCATTGTGAACTTCTAATTCAATATATTTTTAACAAATCAAATTTTGTAGAAAATTGGTTGTTATTTCTGCCATAAAATGTTATTTAAATATATATATATAATCATAATTTTAATTATCATTAATATGATTTTTATTGGCCCTAAATATTGTAACCAAAAAAGGAATTGTAAAATATATCTATTTTTTTGTTTGACTAAGTGCTGTGAAAAAATAATCCAGGATCAAATTTTGGTGGCAGATTTTAAATAAAATAATTACTTATAATATTTATGAAAATATAATTAATGTGGAAGAAAAGTTCCACAAAAATCATAACTTATAATATTTATGAAAATTTGTATACTTTTTTAGCATTAAGCCTTTTTAATAGAAAAATAAAAAAGTGGCCAACACATATTTGTGAGAAATTTTTATAACTTTATCATTAGGTTTCCTTAAAGTTTTGGACACAACTTGAAAAAATAAAAAAGATAAGAATGTAAAAAAATTGCATCATAAATAATCATAATATTTCAAATTTGATCATTCAATTTAAAAAAGGAAAGTAAAAATAATTAGGTTAAAAATAATAATGATTGAAAAAAAAACATTTTAAAATCAAAGAAAGAAATTAATTGGCTAAAATTAACAAAGATTAAAAAGTCATAAAAAAAAATATGATCTACAAAATATTAAAATATATAAACAACCATGGATAGGCAAATTATCTTATTTTTAATTTTATTTTGTATATTGCCATCTAAAATGTTTTTATAAATTAGTGTCACTAATATTTTTTTACAAAAAGTGGTGATAGTTTTTATTTATATGATTATTAATACTATATATATAAAACATAATCCATGAATTAAAAAAAATAACTTATTTTTTGCAGTTTAAAAAAAAAAAAATTTAATACAATATTCATAAAAGAATTTACAAGATTAAAGGGATGTAAGAAAGATTATTTACAAAATCCTAAATACTTTCCAATTCTAATAAATAATATAATTCATGTATTAATTCTAAGTGATTAAAGTATTCTTATTTTATCTAGCATCCATAATATCAACTTGAAACTCAATTAATTAGAAAATATTTTTTTAATTTCACATTGTAAGATTAAAAATATTGTTTATTAATTATGATTCTTTCGAAATATATTATTAGATCAAAATCATGTAATATAGTAATTTTCATTATACTGTATGATTAATTCCCCACATGAAAACGCTAATAATTGGTTCATTTGCTCTAAATATTTTGACTTTTTGAGAAACAGCCTTTATTCTTTTCTTTTTACTACGCGTAATATTTGAAGACATTATATCTTTTTACTTAAGCTAAGAATAATCCATGTATGAGTTATTTTTATTATTTGAATAATTTTTGAATATAAAATGATCTATCATAAAAAAACGCATAATCTGTCATTTGTCATATATGTGACATACATAAAACAAAAATAAATTGACATAATACATTTAGGTCCTTAAGCTATAATTAATATACAGTCATCGCATATCTGTTAGATTTCTTAAAGGTATAACTCGAACAAAAAATTGAGATTTATGCAAATATATTCCAAAATTGTTAAAAAACACGATTTGTGTAGATCTTTTAAAACGGCCCGATAAGATTTTAGCCAAAATAATAATAAATAAACCACTATTTGGCAAATAGATGTCCAAACTAACTTTTCACCACGTATGAGGGGAATCTCCTAGCCTACACAATATTATTTTGGATTTAATCTTAATCGGGTCTTTTTTTTAAATAGAGCCAACTCTGGCTTTTTAACACCATTAATAAGAATAGGGCTCAGTAAAATTAACATGACTCTATATCGGCTTTTCTTCTTGCTCATAGTAGTGTCGCAGCTTTTTAACTTATGGAGGCTTTTTTTAAACATTTTCAGGAATAGAAACAAAAAAAAGCTAATTCCTAAAAAAAGAGATAGAAGAAATTAATTAATAAAATATTAGCAAATAAAGTTCAATTAGCAAATAAAAATAAATCGATGTCACTCGGGCTCTATAAAGATTTAAGAAACTATGAGCCACTTTCTTGACTATGCTACTGCTCCACAATCACAGCCCTAAAATATCTTTTGGATTTTCCTTTGTTAGAGCTTATGTACTTTCATGTAAATATTTCATAATTTGGTTAAAATTTTTACGTGATACAGGATAACAGCAGGGGTTTATTGAAGAGGAGGTTACAAGTAGCTGCGAGGGGCTACGCCCTCTCCCCTTCTTAATTTTGTATATTGTTTGCCATGAATATAAGTTTACTGTTAGAGTTTTAACTTATTTAAATTATATTGGAAAGCAATCAAGAAATAGTTTTATTTGAAAAATAATGTCTATGATTTTGCGCCATATATAGAATTGGTTGATGTTTAACCATATCGTTGTATTCTAATAGGTCTATAATAAAAGTATTAAATTTTATAACAACACATTTTGACCTATTTCTTCTAAAATTTAATAGATAACGCCCCATTTGATTTATCCTAGCCCCAGTCTACTACCTTTAAACTTTATCTCCCTCATAAAAAATTTGGATGCAAACTGTTCGTATCCTTCCCGCTCATGTAGACGCTACACTCCAAAAAGGCTAAAATCAAACTTTTAAACGAAAACTATCATCTTAACCTTGATTAAGTTAAAATTTTTAAGATTGAATGGTGTTAAGATTGAAGTGAACAAGTTTTTTTTAAATATTATATTATGCAATAATTCTAAACGAGGTGAAAGATATTTGCTTAAATAAAGTATTAAATAATTGTGAATTTTATATGCTAAAAGGAAAAATAGTTTGATTTTGCATCATGTCTTGTTGAGTTTACTAGACTTTTATCTACATTTTATATGCAATTAATTAATTGACAGCATTATTTGATATAAAAATTAATTTATATATCATTTATTAAATTAAGATAAGGTATTCAATAAATTTAAGAAAATTATTATAATAGAATTATTAGATAACTATCAATGATCATTATTTTAGAAATAAAATATTTAGCAGATCAGATATTATATTTATTCCATAATATCTCAGAACAATTGCAAACCTTAGCTAATATGGTAATTATGTTGTTATTGAAAGGTTATAAACAATTTTATATTCCTGGGGGGTGGGGGGGCAGACCCACTTTTGGGCTGGCTTCCGACCCTCTTTTGCCCGATTTTCTTTAGCTAATATACACTAGAAAATATTTTTATAAGATAGGCGTTTTATTTTAATAAAAGCAACTTATTATCATTTTAAAATGTACGAAATAAATCATCTGAAACAAATAGAAAATATATTTATTATTAGTTTGTTAAAAATATAATAAAATTCATATTAAAACAAACCATTTCTTAAATAATATTTTTGGCTCATCGCCTTATTTATATATCAATGCCTTTTGTGCAAAAAATATGAATTTATGTTATTAGTTTTAATATAAAATATTATTAACTTTTTCATTCTTTATTTCAAATTATTGTTTAAGATATATGCATACATTTCTGGGGGGATAGGGGTAAGGAGTAGACTAGGGAGGATATTTTATAATAGCTTAAAATGATATTACAAAAAGTGATATATTTTTGAAGGAAGGGGAAAATTTCTCCCCCCCCATTCCACCTCCCCCGGCTACGCCTATTTATATATAGTGAAAATTTTTTACTGGTTATGTGCAATGCCATTTTATGATTTATTCTTTATCTTATAGCAACATCAATAGATTTTATATCTTTCCCTCTAATTTTTCTAAAAATCATCTTTTAATTCAATATTGCAAAACATGTATATATTAAAAATATTTATTGCCTACATTTATGTCATTTCATTATATTTGTAAATTTTTTAATAAATATAGAAAACTTATATGGTAAATAATATTAATAAATGTAATCAATTTAAGAATTAAGTCTCATCTTTCTCTCAGATAACTTTAATAATCAGTTCGCTTATTCTGCTAGTATAGGCTATCTTAAAATAATTTTGTCCTGTAAGCACTTTATATGCTTTTTATATTATAATTAATAAATTATATTAGCTTTAAAGTTGGTCCCTTTTTTGGGGATATACTTTTCTAATTATTAAAATATTTTGTTAAATAAAAAAAATCAGCTGTATAATAAAAAATGATTTGTTGTTTGGAAGTATAAAATATTTGTAAAAAAACGTGCCTCAGAAAACACTTTTTTTAAAAAAATGTTTTGTTTCGAAATGGACTAAGTCTCTTTTTTTAGGACATAGAATTGCTGTCGCGATTATTCATTCTAATCATACCTAAGTTTTATATCTTCCATCGAATAATCTTCCATGCCTCCCTCTAATTTCTTTCCTTCTCCATCCTAGTTTCTCGTTACCATTTTCTTCTTAAAAAATTTCTTACCCTTTTCTCATCATTATTTATAATTTTATATTTATCACCTTTATTTTTGTTCTTAGAAAAAAATAAGTCAAAAAAATGGATATCTCGAAATTAACAGTTCTTGCAGTATCATTTCTAGGGTTTTCTACCAATTTTTATACTATGTTAGTATTGATTAAAAAAATATATTTTGTTTAAAAGTGTAATCTTAAGACTAAATAATTTATAAAGTTTTGCCAAGCAAACTTGGAATTAAGAAATTAACAAAATTATTATTTTTATAAAAGTAAATTATACACAGAAATAATGAACGATTATTGCTTCATCCCAATCATATCAACCACTCTTAACACCTTCGGCAAACTCGCCTTAGCATTTTTCAAAAACTTAGGATCACAAATCAGCAAACTCTCAGAAAAACCTCGAGAGGGTTTTTTTCTTCGTCAACGATTATCCATAGCGATTCTCAAAGCTAATTATATCAGTTTCAATGGTAGTCTTCTAGCCAAAGAGCTATCCTAGACAACACTTACGTCCCTTTTTCATTTTTGTTTCTCTGCGTCACACCATCTCCGTTCTTTTTTTTTATAGTATTATTATAAATTTTTCAAACATTTTTAAATATATTAAAACATAAAATATTATATTCGTTTTTTTTTAATACTTTATATTATTTATTATTTGAAAATTTAAAATAAAATTTTTGATTTAAATTAATAAAACAAAACAAACCAACAAGAGGACGAACATTTTATGAACTTTAGTGAGTCGATTAGAGGACGAATATTTCAGATCTATTATTAATTAATGGCCATGTTTTTGCTTTTTTGAAAAAAAGGTATTAAGAATAGGGTTTAACCAAACAAATTCGATATCAATGTGTAGCCAAATTATTAATCTTTAAAATAAAATTTGAATTAAAGCTCTATCTATAATTGTTTATGAGCTAGATGAGGTTATGTGAAAGTTATTTTTCTGGCCAGTCAATACATACTATGTATTGACTGGCCATATACTATGTGTTAACTGGCCATAAATTTTATTATGAAATACTTGCAAAAGACCTATCTTATATATTTTTTCATTTTAGGTATATAAAAATTTAATTATACACTAATTTAATAAGTATAAGAATCTAAATTTTTCATCATCCATTTAATGATACTTTATAAATTAATAACTTAATTATCTTTTTGTTAAACAGTTTAATTTCAATATAAAATTAACCACTCTCTATTTAATAACTTTATAAATTATTATCTTAATTATCTACATGTAATAGACTATTTTAATAATTTAATCATTCATCAATTTATAAATTTATGTTTAATAAACTTAGTTAGACAATATATTATTTAGAATTTTATTATAAATATGAAATATTACAATTAGAAATACTTCATGTTAATATTTCTTAATTTTTAGGCAATAAAAATTTAATTATAAGTATTAACATCTAAATTTATTATCATCTATTTAATGATAATATTTTATAAATTAATATCTTAATTATCTTTTTGTTAAACATTCTTATTTCAATATAAAATTAATCACTATCTATTTAATAATTATATAAATTATTATCTTAACTATCTACATGTTAAAGTGATTTTTAATAATTTAATCATTCATGATGTTTAATAAACTTAATTAGGCAATTATTAATACACAACAATAATGAAAGCCATTTTATTAATTTATAAATGAAACAATTATAGTATCTTTTTTACATACATAACAAACAAATAAATCATTGTTATTAGTACATTGAGTATGGGCCCATTCTTCACATTGCAGGCATTTAATTCACTCTTCACATTTCTTGCTCTTTGAATATGCCTTCTTGCATATTATGCAAAGCCACTCATCATTAGTTTTCTTTAGATTTTTTTTTTATTGTTTTTTTTAATATTTGTTAATTTATGTTTTTTATAAGGTGATGAGGTTAAAATTTCTGATTTCTTTCTCCTCTTGTCTTTTTTGATAATATTATTGCTATATAAAATTGGATGAGGTA